ATGTAGCATTTCATTTTCTTTTAAGTATCGAGTTACCGATAAAACGTGTACATATATTTTGTTTCCAATAAATTTCGAAGAGTTTGAACTCTTTTGATATTAAAGTACATAGTTATTGTAATGGTACCGACAATTTTAATTGTTTCTTTACTTTCTACATCAGCTGCTAAACACGGTCAGCTTTCCGCCAAGCTTTTTGACAACGGGTATCGGTTCTAATTTCCCTATAATGAATTTTCCATGTCTGGATAGCAACATTCTGCAAACACAACTTATGGTATTTACGTGTTGCAGTTGATTCGATATCCATGTGCCTGTTCCCATTGTCGCGATTTTCTTGCGCAAATTCGTCAACTGACGGACAAATTCGTTTTCAAAATATGCAGGTTGACGAGAATTCGGGGTCGCCAGAGTAACCTCATTGAATGACCAAGATTTGCATGGCGGGTGTCGTCGATGAAGTGTAAGACAATTACTCTTCCTTTATACGTATTATTAGACTGTACAAGCAAGAATAACATTTAAAATGGAAGCCCATCCAATGACCATTTAGACAGCATTGGAAACAATGTTGTGATGTCATTTAAATTGTTCCGTGGGCATTCAATGATACAGTAGACACAGAGAAAATGAAACTATTTGGTGATAGTGACTTTTAAAATAGGTCTCATAGCCTTAAATGAAAGTTTCGTAAAACTTTCTGAGCTCAATGGCCATCCATATAGATACACAACTAGTATCAGTAACGAAAGTGAAACGTAGACTCAGAAATAAGTTGTTTTCCATTTCCTACACACGTGTGATTTTGATCCTTTTTCTCGCCGTTTGAAAATGTTACCGAAGTGTTCGGCTGACAACCCATAGGATTAGATAACATTTCTAGACCTAAAAGTAACGTTATAGATTATAGAATAAAATAAGAGATATGTTTTCATACTCAATAGCAAAGAGCCTGAAACAAAGTTACATGAAATGCATAGACCATAGAGATAACAGCACAACTTACCAACCAAGTTCAAGATGAACACACAATTGACACAAAAATAGGTCGGCAACAATCTATAATAAAAAATAAGACATGCCTCTAATTTTTTGTTCGGTTAAATCCCACTGCAGACAGATAGACTCCTCATGTTTTTCATATATTTTTTCTATGAAATTCAAAGTTCAAAACTTAAATTGTCCCAATTTCAGAACAAATGCGTTAGCTGTGTTTAATTCACGTTTTAGCATGCCTGTTACTATCGTACATTCTACAGATAAAGAACAGTTTAATATGAAGACGGCTATTAAACAGAATATGATCTAACACTCGCCCCTAAAGGGCCCCACTTATGAAATCAACGTCACTCAACCTTATATCACAGTTCTATATTCCTGGGTAGTACTTTCCAAAGGCCTTACTGAAATCAAGATATAATGATATTGTTGTAAACGCATCCTTCTAAGTGAAGCTGCATTTAGCAATAAGGAATCCAGGCTAGACATTTGTTGCATATAGTTGCTGTTTAATAGTTATTTTCCTTATAACAGATATTGGTTCGTGAGGAAAGGGGTCTTAAATTTCGAGAAAAGCGGTTTAATGAGAAATCAAAGCTAGCCTGTCCTTGATATCTGTGAAAATACAAATTTGTAATACTTAGTAGCTGTTACGACGATGTATTGATTAAAGAATCTTAGTAAGAGAGCTTGAACCGGATCATTATCTGTAGAACGAATAACATTTCCGATTAATTTCAATATTTTTTTCTGTCAGTGATATAGCTCTCGTTTTTTTCAGATGTTGTTACAGAAAACGACGTCTATTCACTCAGTTTTACTGACTTTTAAAATGTGGTTACACTGGACTCTATATCAGATTAACTACATGTCAAGATATAGACAGAACAAGGATCACGTGTCTCTATGTCACATTGACTACACGTCAATATATAGACAGAACAAAGATCACGTGTCTCTATATCACATTGACTACACGTCAATATATAGACAGAACAAACGGATCCCTGGTCTTGTCGACGGAAATGCTTTGGTAATAGCACAACAATTTTGCTTTGTTACAGTGTAGCTTATCCACTGATTGAGAAAAAGGTAACCATATTTCTATTGGTGTGCGAATTTGGGAACGACAAATATTCATTTCATAGTATTGAAATCAGATTTTAAATTTTCTTTCATTGTTTAAGCCCTATGAATCAATAAGAATTATATGCCCATATTTGGTCATACTCCACTGTAGAGAAAGGATCTATATTAACTTTTGTGTCTTATGTATAGCCGTCATGAGCCACAAGTTCCTTAAAACATAGTTATATGTCAGTGATGAAACGGTGTCATTGGGGATGACTTTGCTAGAGATTAGTGCCCAACTGTGATTGTAGAAATATCGTTGCTAATATTCGATCCACGACAAGATTTCTGATAATCTGGAGCTAGAGTACAAACCGTACAAACAAGATTTGTACGGTTACATGCATATACATCCTTCATGAAATGATATCCCCTTTTACATATTTCTCAGTTACAATGAAACTTTCCCTGATTTTGTCTGTACGTCCTTGCAATCCAGACTATTTTGGGTGATGGAGCCACTGACGACACTCTTCGACGGGGACGATATGTTGATTTTGGAAGTTTTGTTGGTACTCTAGCTCGGCATGGGTTCCCATTTATATTATTCAGATACAGGTCTGTAAAAGATTATGGCACTCCTCATTTATTACACTTGATAATTGAATTTCCAGATATTCAACAAAGCTCTGAAGTGCTGTTTAATTACAATTGCGTAATGTCAACCAAAACAGCCTTATTGTGATGCTATGGTGTCATTTTAAAGAGTACGATCTGGATAATATCACGTGACCAAGCGCGACTATGATCGCATCTCTGTTTTCCCGTAGTAAAACTTAAGAGCACCTAGATTGCACCTTAATGTTGAGCGGCACGACCTGGCGCGCAATCAGTTCTCGCTCGAGAAGATTGAGCATCGTTCCTCCCCGCTCTACTCTCGATTGTCACTCGACCATGCGTCCATTCCTCGACCTTGCTCGCCTTTTCGACGTTCTCTGTGCAACATTTTGATCGAGGCTTATTTTTGTTTTTTTAACGTATCTGAAAACTGAGCTACGATCTCTTTTCGGGGAAACCATTCCTCCACCGTGTAACAGCGGGAGACCAAGTCACGCTCTGGTATCGCAGCTCAGTCTTTCTGGAAGCTTTCTCGGTTAAATGACCCTTTTGCTTTAACGGAAGACATATCGCAAGCATCATTTGAGATCAACGATCTTTTTGGTCTTACAATCTCGTCTGAATACCTTGTACCTTTACAAGATTTTGGTGACAGCCATTCCGTCCAAAATAACAGGGTGCCCTAGTTCGGCAGTCCAGCTACCAGGATGAACGTTCCCCCTGCTCCAACTGCTTGAGCTCATCTAAACCTTGACATAAACCCTAGATCCTATGTCCTCCTGTCAACACCAACCACGCTTACGGAATCAGACATAGAAAAGTACCTCCTTCATCTACGAATGATTGGACAAATTATGAAATTATAATCAGGATTTACGTAACAAGTTATAAAAAGCATTAAGATTTGTAGTTATACTTTCTCTGGTTCTACCAGGTAACTAGTTTGAGTTTCCCAAGTGTTCCCAGTCCTTACCAGCAACATTTTGAACACTTGCAAAGCTATAGAGCTTTCATTAAGTTAGTTAATTCATGGCTGGGCAGCTTCAAAATGTTAAGTTATGATAACTTGTGCTACCTTAACATTGTCTGCTTTCCTGAAATTATATAGAAAATAGTTTTTACTCATAAGATTCCTATAGAACTTTGTTAAATTGTATTCAAATTTTAGTGTACTTCCCTGACCATGATCTTGAACCTAATTATATTAAAGGAATAACTGTCATAATTATCAATTAATTAAATGTGATGATCTCTTTGGAATCTTTTCCAATTTCTTAGTATTAAGATTATAAAATGCCAAGACAAAGGACAAAATCAAAATCTGAAAATATATATTATCTAAATATGGTAACTTTGCCCATTTATCAGACATTTTTCAACATTATCTAGAAGCCTTTCTGTAGAAATTTTTCAATGTATTGTTAAATTTTGAAATCGAAGTCAGTTTCACATGTACTTTTGATATCTAGTAGTGTATGATGAATGTGTCAATAATAAGAGACCCTGAGCCTTTGGGGACGCTAAGCTACTCGCAGTCAGTGACCACATTACCAAGACTGACTGAACTCATTATCCATGAACCCCATCATGATATGTTTAACATACATGTTTAACGTTGCCTTTCCTGTCTTATTCGCACCCCTGCTCTCTTGATGGATTTTTTGTTTTTATTTTTGTTTTTTCAATTTAAGAAACAAAAAATTCTTATATATTTTCACACAATTTTGTGTATACCAATTTTATTAACAACCCGTTTTAAGTTTTAAGTTCTGATATATATTAAATATCTTAAATACTATATAGCTACAGTGTAAGTCGGATAATGTTCGCAACATCTATACTATTAGTGTGCGTCTCTTGATCGATCTTATATTAAGTTGATTTTACAGCGAATTAACTTGAAATTTGTGTCATTTGCAAGTTACATTTTTTTGCAATTATACTCATCCAGACGGAATCGTCAAAATCGTTCGGCAAAACTTTATAATTAAAATAACGTTCTCCTGTCAGTGAGATTCCAAGTTTTGGTAACAGAAAGTCTCAAGAACTCAGTAATCATGAAGGTGCGTAAGATAATTTATATTATGCGTCTCTCTCTGTGTTTTCGAAATCAACAAACAACTGTACTTACAATTGGTCAACTTTACGAACGTCTGTCAAAAATGCCGCAGTGTTTTCTGTTTAAAGGGAGATAATTCTAACTGCTTGGAAAAGTTACTTCCCCTAGATTCACAACAACCGATTTCATTGGTTAATTGAAACAGGAAGCGCCGACTTCAAAGCGACTGATTTCACAAACAACTGCTTACATTTCGGACTGAATGCAAGTTTGTATCAGATAACGAGACAGTCTTCAGAATACATGGGGTTTTAGAAGAAACTGAACAGGTAAGGTTTGATTTTGTTTAATTTTCTCATAACGCAGAAACAGAAAATCCTTTAAAATGAACTCATTAATGTATTTTATTGACAAATTACTATCTATGTATGTATTCACATTGCTGTGCTGTAAAATAGTAATTCCAACATTAAGGTTTATTGTCTTGCCGTATCAAATAGACTTATGGAAATTGAAGCTCTTCGCTGTGGAATGTGTGTGTAGATATGCGAGCTAGAGGGAAATGGGGAGGGGGAGGGGTGAGGGACAGGGTGGCCCTACCCGACCGATCATAAGCACTGGTAAGCGGGTAATTTCTGACTAGGTGCTTGGTACCTTTGTCATACATCGAGTTGAATGCATTCTACACGCCTTGGTAAAGGATTTTTTCGGACTTTCAAGAATAAAATCTAATGTTTTTGTAAAGCAATACCTGTACCATCATATATTTTTTGAGACATCGAAGTATCATACGACTTTCTCTAGTCAAAGGTACATACATTATGTAGGTAATTTTAATCTTTTCAAAACAAACAGTAGTAGAAAAGCTTATAATTTTCTGAATTATTATTCTAACTTTTTGATTATTTATAAGTGTTGATATTTAAAACAAAATGCATGTTTAGTCTCTGGCTGAAAGACTGTCCAATACTGTATTCCAAAATTAAAAGGATTTCATTAAAAATGGCTCACACTAACTACAGCATAGAAGTGAATGGGGTGTAGGTAAATGAGATGAGGTAACAACTGTCAGGAGAGGGAGGCTTCGATGACTTCATGGCTCAGTAAGCAAACAAAAGCTTAGTTTACTAAACCAGGCCCCACTTGTATAAAACATCTCAACTTGAGATTTCCTCAAGTCGAGATTTTCCTCAGCTGATATCTCCTTAAAAACGGCTTGTATGAAATTTTCTCAAGGAACAGGAGGAAGTCATTGGCTAGGATGTCCTGAAATTCCTTGAGGAATTTTTATACAAGATATTTTCAAGGAGATATTAGCTGAGGAAAATCTCAAGTTGAGATGTTTTATACAAGTGGGGCCAGAGACGTATGCACTAGGCCTACATCCTTAAGATTATACAAAGCTAACCAAGTTCCATTATTAATCTTCATGTGGCTAATGCTTGTTACTGTAGACATCTAAAAATCTAAACAAAGAATTTATCAATAAAGATTTGATTTGATTAATTTCATTGTTGATATCTTGTTCAAATTGTAGGTACAAGTACACATGTGAATACAGGTGAAGATCATTTTTCTGAAGTGTGCTATAAGCCTAAACGTGAAGACAATGGCATCCATGACTTTTATGCCTTATGTTGACAAGGAGAATGCTGGCTCTTTAGGAATCCATCCAGGCAAGGGGCAACAACGGACAACATCTGGTCTTGGAGGTGTGTTAAAGACAAAGACTTTGTGATCTTTATGCTAATACACATACTGCTGTGTATATATAGACATCTGTATTTTGTGTGTTTCTGTATCATCTAGTGTATACATAATACATCTATTTGAAAAATAGTACCAGTCAAAATATTTTGTGACTAGTCCTTACCAAAATTATTTTGTCCCACATATAAGACGTGTAGACAATCTGATTTTTCTGAAGATTGTATAAAAGACACACAAGTGAATAGCAATGTTTATTAGTTTTTATTTAGCTACAGTAGAGCCAAAATAATGCAAACAACTGCATCATACAGCCCAAATTTCGAAGCCTATGAGGCAGCTGAGGAATCTCCAAAGGAATCTCCAAACGAAAGAAAAGTCAAAATCTTTATGTGGAGGTGCAGCAGCCCCATAGTTAAATTTTGAAATTTTCAACTATCAGACAACTTAAGAAAAGCTTCAAGTACATTCTGAACCATACCACTATTCAAATGAATGAAAAATTGGCATGCAGGTTACAGCAAACCTCAGGGATTTAGTCCATCAGCAGTGTCTGCCACCTGTTGTCTTAATGATTTTTTGAAATGTATCTTTATTTAGAAGGCATATGCCTGTATTTAAAATCTTGATCAACAATAGTTTTGATGGTATTATATGATAATGTATTAATTATATAAGATACAGTATAGAACTTTTGGGTGTCTATTCTAATCGATGTCAAGTCTGTTCAATTTTTCCTCTACTGTAACAATTGTAAAGTAATTGGTCATATGACAAAATGCATTGTTTTATAGGCAGCAAAGTTTTTGGAAGTTCTTCAAAACAGCTAGTGACGCCAAGGAAAGCCTTGGGCGATGTCAGCAACCGTGGTCTCAGCTTAAACTCTAACTCCAAAAATCTAAAACAACAGAAGCCAGCATTCAAACCACCAGCATCACAACAGAGAAAGGGGTTGAAAGTACAAGGAAACAAACAGAGCAGTATTACACATGTAAGCCTGGTATTGGATATACATAATCACTCTCTATAGCAATGGCATCAGACCTATAAAGGCTGCTTCGACAGAACCAAAGGGACTGTCGAGTTAAGCTGTGTGACAGTCCATTCAAGAGAGATAGCCCGACTTCGGCAACATTAACAATATTTAAATTTTGAAAATTTAGTCAATAATTTGGTAGATATACTGTAAAAACCTATATTTTTGTTGGCTTCAAATTTCATGGTTTAACAAAAAAATTGCATTTTCATTGGCACTTGCTTACAAATGTAAGTATTGCTCAGCCAATCCATTAGTTCTGTAACCCATGCCAAATTTCATATATCAATTTATCATTTCTTAGTGAGATATCAATGTATATTTTTTTTATTTATAATAACCTTGAATTCCACAAAAAGGAATCTCCACAATAATTAATGATCTTGCAGAATATCATGATGTCTTTTATATAATAATCATGCACATTGTCAATATTGTTCATGTAGATATACACTTCTTCCTGTTCTAATCTAATCCCATATTTAAAATCCCAGATCAGGCTTTTGCAGACATAACTACTTCCATTGCTTGCTTCAATTCCAGCCTAAAACAGTGACCAAGGCTGCTCCCACTGAGCCTCATTATGATGAGATTGAACACATACACATTCCCAAGGAAATTGAAGGTATTGTGTTTAAACAAAAATAAGTAACACAAATGTTTAATTGATACAGTAGTAGCTTGCTTGGTTTTTGATGTAATAATCCACGTGATATTTTAGTACAGTATTTGCTGGTTGAAAATATATATGTGTGCCACATTTGCCATAATTGACATGCAAGAACATTGGAAATATGCTGTCATATAACAGATAACATTTCTCTGGAGGATATCAAAGATTTATTCATCTTCTGTAAGATAAGAAGATTAGTGAAGATACCTCGGTGTTAGTGCTTCAACAATTGCCTGATATTTGGATATATCTTGACAATACGCAGCAGAGACATCTGGACATTTAAGTTGGATTAAATGGTGTGAACATCCGTTGAAAGTACAATCAAACATTTATTGGATGACAAATGCTAAAATGTTGTAATTTGCATATAATTATTTTACATTTCTTAAAGCTTAGATCATAGATAAATTATGAACCCCAGTCACGACCAGCAATCAGATAATTATGAATCAATTTCACTCATTAATTATTCAGATGATTCAAACATATTATTGATCAAGATGACAGAAGTTAAAGATGATAAAATTTGGAAACTGCAGCAGTTGCTGTAGAGTATTTGTTTCAAACTAATATACATACTATTTTCTTTAACTAGAACTTTAACTTTTCAGCTCATTATCAATACAATAAATTTTGAAAAACACTTAAGAAAATTTATATATAAGAACACATATTTGTCAAGGAAAATCGACGTGGGCCCTCATAGTCATGGAATTATTGTATCTCTGATAATATTTGTTAACATTAAAATTGTTATTTGTTATCATTGAATATTGATGTTTTAATAGATGACGATTTTGAGGATATTTGGCCAAAGTCTGAGAGAATAAGCTCATATATTTCACAACTGATCAGCTGGCGCCCGCCCTGTCTGTTCAGTCACCTGCCTGATTCTGGTGATGAAACTGATGAAGAGGAGGAGCGAAAAAAGAGAATGGAGAACTTGGACAATGTCTTGGAAAATATGCCCAAACCTCTTTCCACTGTTTGTGAGTAACTACAATCATTTTCATGGGGAGGTTCACAACAAAACCTGCAATGAAACTTTGTCACCATGGTATCATAACATTAATGTAGGTATTAGAATCTTATTCCTAGATGTGATGGTTTAGAGCTGATATTCTGCAATTTCATGGAAGAACATTTTTGTTTTCAGAATGTCAGCCAGCAGCGGAGATAGATTCATCTTGTGCACATACTAGTATTTTATCTGTATTTGATATCTCATACAGACTAGATTGATTATCTTTTTTTATTTCGAATTCTTCTATTCAACTCATTTTAGACTCTGTGCACTGACTTTATGCATCCAAGAGACATTTCCTGTACCAGCATTGTTTTTTTCACATTTATTGAATGTGGTGTAAATGTGCCTTATAGAATGGACGTAACAGAAAATTCAAGTGCTGGGTTGCTCAAGATTCCTCTGTCTCATGTGAGAAAAGGAGAAAATTCCAAACCAGTGGTACATTGCTTATGCTTATATTGATTTTTGTAGGTGATTTACCTGAACTAGATGAGGAAGATCTTTGGGTTCCAGAGCCTGTGGATTCCGTTTCATTTCCATCCAGTGTAGACCTTTGTGAGATATCATTACCCTTGGACGATTCCTTGGATATCCTTCCAAATGTTGGACAGCTCAGAATACATGAGACACCTTGAGTTGGCACTATTCTGATGCATTTGTAGACTTTTATTGTGAATTTCTAAGTCAGATAGGTTTTCAGGAGCCAGACACAATACATCGATCTGTTCTATGGAATTTTATTTCCAAGTTTTTCTACCAAATACGGAAAACAAATTTCACCATTAGTACACTAAAATACAGAAAAAAATGTAACACATGTATACTATCCCATTCAGGAAATCATAGAAACCATAAAATGTAATTTAAATGTTATGATCTAATATCTACGACTGTTGAATTGGTCAAAAATTTAAGTTGTATTTTTTTATATATAGTTAAACAATAGTCAGTCATTTGTTTGGCTGTAGATGACAACCTCTTGATTCCAATCGCTTAGACTTAGTACTTTTTCTAGGCTTATGTGATCCTTTTTTATTCAAAGATAGATGTAATGTTGATCCTTATGACCATATCATTATAATCTCTGTTGAAGGGTAGGTCAGCTTAATATCAAAGTATTGTTTGGTGTTGACCTGCCAACCCACAATATACCCTAGGCTCAAGGAAGTTTATGATTAGATTGATTCCAATTTTGTATCATTGTAAACGCCATTTCCAGAATCTTTGTCTTCACTCATCAGATTTTGTATATAAGTCTTTTTTGTTTCGATGTCATAAACCTTTTTTACTTACCCTCCCCATCATTAAAAGAAATGAATGACTTTGATATATGAGCTGGACAAAAAAGGATGTAAATTTTACCATTTCTTTTTCTGATTAGATCATTGTTTCCCCTGCATAATGACCCAAGTTGTGCAAGGATGGGTCAGTCATTGTTAGACAGAATATGGTATGGGTGGCCTAAAACAGCTTTATTGAACCAAGTTAACGTTAACATTTTATACAATTTCCTGTACATGTATTACATTGTGACCTACAGAAATGCTATTGATACATTAATAGATTTATTTCTCTCAAAAATTTTTCTGGCGGAACAATGTAGATTAAATGAGAGATGAGTAGTGGACATAGGCAGATAAGGTATTTTGTTTTAACTTTTCAGAGTAGGAAATCATATTAGGTCTTTTTGAATGTATGGAAGCCACGGTTAGAAAAAACACAAAAGTTGTAAAGGTATCTCGCTACAACTACATGCTTTACACCTTTTTTATTGGCCTGTTAATGGCAAACTCCAAATTCATAAAGGAATCAAGCTTGCTACAGCTGTATGCTTTACACCTCTTCTATTGGCCTGTCTATGGCTAATTAACAATGGTCTCTCCAGTACCAATATATTACTAATACTGAACAGTTTCCATTTATGGCCTAACATTAAAGTAATAAATTCACATATGAAAATTTATAACAAGAATGTAATGACGCTGGCAAATTACCAGGCAATTTCATTTTATTTTTGTTTCATTTGTGAAAAACTCCCACATGATATCAGAATGATTTTTAGAATCCAAATTCTACATTTCCATTTTTACACTTAAGATACTGCAGTCTAAATCTCTTTGCATCATGTTAGAAAATATTTAAAAGATTACCCAAGGAAACACTTAAGATATTTCTATATGAATTTAGGTACTAGACAAGAGTCAAAAAGGCAGCTACTATTTTTTCATATAGAAGATTTATTGACACCTCATACCTTGTCACATTTACTTGTTTCTTGTGATGACTGTTTAAGATTTTGTGAAAAAAACTGAATTATTGTGTCTTGATTCTGTGGTGTAAAACTCAGCTTTCATCATGTTCATAAGTCATCTGCTGTTGTATCATCCATGATGTTTTAAAACATGTTTTTCCTCTCCGTTTCTCTCACTCTCTCTCCAATGTAAGTTTTTGAATCTTAAAATGATGCATGTAGATTTACATAAACAAAACAAGATGCTTGAAAGATAGTGGTTTAGTGAAATGAAGTGTATTGCCAAACATTTGCAAGATGTTTCATTGAAAATAGTAAGATACGGAATCAAATTTTATTGCAAACAATGAATAGATGTATAATTGAGGCAGATTTTGTATGATTTATTATTTTGGGCATTATCAAGTGTTTTGGTTTTGGCAGGACGATGATATACAGCAGTGCTTGCTTGGATAAAAGTTCTTTTGCCACATGGTTCCAGCTTCATGTAAAAAGATCAAATTTGCTACTTTTAATCATTCTTGTTTGCATGTCATTGTAATAGAATTCTTATGTTTATTGTAGTCATATATTTTTAAGAATTTTAAACATGTAAATAAAATTTATGAAAACATTAATATGTTGAATTAAATTGTTTCTATAATAGTGAATATGTTCAGATTCAAAAATATACATTTGTATATTCATGGAGTTTCATACATGAAATAAGACCTATTGATCTTGCATCTTTTCTATCATAAGCTGTGATTAGCCAAACATTTTAAATGGTTTGTGAACAGGGGAAAGCACATTCCTGATAAGCCCTCTCAGACTGAGAGTAATCTACTCCAGGACTACAGCGTAATAATCTACCAACTGAGTCATAGCAGAATTCTCTTTCCGCAGAATAAAAAAGTGTTAAATGAGCTAAATCTGTATGTTTGAATTGAAATAAATCAAATTTAGCATGTAGATATATCATAGCAGAGGTTCAACAAGAATCAAATCCAGCATGTAATTTTATTGTAGCTAGTGATGGGACAATGCTTGAATGTAATTGATCGTAATTTTTTATATTCTATTATTAGCATCTTAATATTTTATTTTAGCAAAAACCAAAATTCATATTATGCATAATAAAGATGCTAATTGCCAATGATATTCATTCTTGTGCAAATTTTAGGTAAGTGAGGTATTTCTGCTCAAAGTTACCAAAAAATAAAATATTACCTTAAAAAATTTTTTTTAACTTTCTATGAACATTGAACACAGTCAGCTGGTTATATAATTATCTGAAACCCTATCTGATTTCAATCAATTATGGATATTTTATGGATTTCCCATCATTAATCATAGCACAGCGAACTTGATCATTGTTAAAAAGGTTGGACTGTTCTGTTTGATCTTCCTAACCTACAATTTAGAGCACATTTTACTTGTATGATAATTCATTCACTGGTACACTCCTACACCTTCCAAAAACACTTTTCAAAGCTAAAACAACAAAGCAAATAAACTCTTTGCGTTCAATTAATTTATTTTTCAACTGTGGCAGATAAATTGGTATTTTACATGCTTGATGTTGCAAAGTAAACGCTTTACTACCTTTGTAAGATATCAACCTAATTCATGTTGATTTAAAGGTCAATGAATCTTTAATATTACATCTAAAAAAACTTCCTGGGCCTCTTTCAAAAGTGTAAAATTTAATTTTGTCGTTCATGCAGCAAAGGTATAATTTCAAAAAGTTCAATTGATGTCTATAGGATTCAACAGGGGTTATACTATCAATTCACCACAGCCTGTACATATAGTATAAAAATGATGTTTGAAGTCCATGGGTCCTTCTCTGTCTTAGACTGAAGGTACGTTTTAACATTTTAGCACACAATCATCAGATTGTGGGAAGTTAAAATCACCCTCCATCTATTCATCCACTAACAATTCTTAGTTCTGATCATATCCAAGGTGTACAATTTCTGTATGAACAAAAGTAGATCCTTTTGTGATATTTATGTTTTAAAAATCATAAAAATCCTAACTTGTACTCAATATTTCTTTAAGGTTTATTAAATAGAAACAATACAATTGAATGCATACACATGTAACGAAACATACTATTAGGACTTTTGATAAAAAAAATAAATAGTGAAGACACATGCACATTTCCGTCTTCAGGAAATTGAGGTATTCATACCAGTAAATAAATATACATTCATTCAGGACAAATAATGTTAATTATTGTTAATGAATTTGTCAATCTGAAGTAAAAAGTCAAATCAGCGAGTACATGGTACATGTAAGTACATTGTATTGGCATGAATTTATACTTGTATCTACATTTACACACTTTCTAGGTAAGTTTATGTAATAATAGAGAAAATCAGTTTCAATACCAACTAATAAAATTTTAGTCTTTGAGAAAAATTTTGTTAATACTACATGAAGTATAGAGAAAAAATCATGGGATCATTTGTTAATCTTTGAAAGCCAAACCAGTATCATAATTAGTAATCGTTATTGAACAACACAAACTTAATATTTTAAACTCTTAATTGAAAGATTCCTCCTCAGCATTGAAGTTAACTAGAGAATGTTCTATCTGCAGATGGTTAATGAGTTGTGTGAGAGAAGGTTTAGGATCTTGAAGTTTCTCGTGCAGGTCAACTAAAGCTTTCTGACTCGTCTTCTGCCATTTTGTGATCAATGCACGAAGGCTGTCCAGGTCATTCTACAGTAAATAAAAAAGAGACAAGTTAATTGATGATACATTTACATAAAATTTGCATGGTAGTTAACTCCATAAAAAATTAATGAAACCTGGGGAAATGATCTTCGTTCCTCACCTTATTTCTATACATTTTCACCATGTTTAACTTTCGCAGTTCTTCTTCCTTTTCTTTCAATGTATTTTTCAATATTTCATATTTTTCTTGAAGCATTTCTGTATCTTCATGAGATATAGACTTTGCACCATTTTCTGACTCTTTCATTGAGGTGATTTGAGATTCATTTTTCTGTTCATCAGCAGCTAGTAATTTATCTTCTGTAGAACTACTATCACACATGTCAGAGAATTGTAACCTGCTTGGTCGACAACACAGTGAAATATTTTTAGATTGGATGGGTGTCCTTTCAGACATTTGTTTGGATATTTGATTTCCATCAATATTTTCCAAAATCATTTCAGGAACTTTTGTATTTGTTGTTAATGAGAGCTTTGAATAATTTCTGATTTTCTGAGATTGTTCTTTACTATAGCTGTTTTCATCAAAAACAGTTGGACTAGACATTACAGAAATTGTGCTTGGTCTCTCATTTGATTTGAATTTTGGAGTCACTTGTAATAAGCTTGAGTCTGTAGTTGGTGTTTTCGGAGCTGAGAGTGAGTTCGAACTCACAAGTTTCCTGTAATTTCCTGTAGGATCATCAACAAAATCTGAAAATCCAGATGGAGACACAAATGTCCCAATGTTTTTCCTGATGGCAGGAATTGAAGAATCAATCTTTAACTTTGCTGAATCACTTGACTTTAAAGGTGTAGAACTTGAATCTGTTCCCATTTCTTCATCAAGACATCTTGTTGGAGTAGATTGGGTGTCCAGACAATTGTCTCTCTTAATGGCATGTTCTATCTTTACAGGCGTTTGTGATAATGTGCCATCTGGGTAATAGATGCGCTTTTTCTGTGGAACACTGATGGGTGAAGAATGGTAACGCCCACATCTTTTTAGCCTCTCTTTCAAACTAGAGCTCAGCTTCTAAAAATAAATCATCATGTGGTACACATACAAAACTATGATGTAAAAATGACAACAAAACATTCAGAGAATCACAATCACTTGGTCATATCATACATCGGTAATAAAAAAAATGTAATGAGTGTTTTATCTGAAAAGTTTTTCCCAGGTTGGTAATCAATAGAGTAGAAAATTTTAGAACACAACCTGTAGATGATATAAGAGTGACATTTCGATCACTACATGGCCACCTTCATCAGTCAAATGAATGGTGTGAATCATGCCTAGCACTGATGTATGTAGTAGTGTACAAGGTGGTAAGAAATCAACCAATTTTTTTGGCTCTAAACTTGTACTATAATTTTATGTACACATAGAGGACAATTCTTCAAAGTCACCAGTTTGCAGTCACACATTTTGATAAGACATATGCAATGAATTTCCTTCAAGTCCTCAAAACCATATTCCTTATTGACATTATTGATGCCAGAAATCATCTACACCATACAAAATGACCACATTGGTTGTCGGAATGGGAAATAATGAAAGAAATATTGCTGCTTTCCAACTTACATAAAATAACAATTTGTATCAATGAAATTAAATTGATTAATAGTTTCCATTGACTACTGTGTAAACTATAGATGCCATTTGGTGCATTTAGTGCTAATGTCACAGATGAGCAAAGAATTTACCTGTAATCTTTTTATTTGCCACACTAAATAAATAAGCACTGGGGGTAAATAAGGTTTGTGTTTTTTTAAAATAAAACAGACAACTGAATTATTCACTTCTTGTGTAAAAATGAGAGCCTTGTCAAAAATATGTCACCCTTTTTGTTGCAAATGTTTCAAAGAACTTCATATGTCTCCAATGCCATACATAATATTATGAAATAACTATATTTGACATAAAGAGGACGTCCAATTCCTGTATTGATAGTTTGATACCAAGGATAACAATTTATCATGTAATCTGTCAAACTGATGATGTCTGTTTTACATACTAACGTTGTTTATTGTCGTTAACCAACAGTTCTTAACCTGGCAGCAGACTTACTGTACATGCATGGGTTTCTACTTACCTTGTGTGCTGAGACATGTTCAGAGGACGTTTTCGACATTCTTCAATTTTTCATTTCTCAGTCGACATCCACATCTTTTATATTCCCCGCTGAAACTAACGAGGTAACTCAAACGCTTAATTTTGAATTCCTTTTGAATAAAGCGTAGTGACGATCTAGTAACTGCACAGACTATTATTCGAGGCGGAGACGAACGAAACAAGTTACACAACAAACAGGTCTGTTCCGAGCAAAAAAAAAAAAAATTCAAAAGACCGATATCTCTAAATAAGATATATCATGCACTATAGTTATTTAGATACATACTCTTGGGAAAATGATATTGTACTGTATTATTATTGGAGAAATAGTGTATCAGTGAGCAGAAGGCCATAAATCTAACAGTGTAATAGACAACTACTGGAGATGCAATATTTTTGAGAGAGATATATATTTCTTTTTAGATATATAATGTAAGTCTCTGTTTTACAGGATAAAAGTACTTTGTTAGATTTAAGAAATTAGCGAAAAAGGTTCTTCCACCGTATACACAATGTTTCATTATCCTAGTTTCAATGCAAGAAAATTTATGATCTGGACATAAAAATATTAAGAATGGACAATAGCTCTGTAATTAAGGAATTGCGAGCCCTGACATTGGTACACAACACATTGTCTGAGTATGTCCAATGTATATAATACCAAGTTTCATGATCCCTGCTTAACTGTTGGTGAATATAGGCTCAAGACACAAAATGGCAGATTGAAGGACGGACAAAGCAAAAAATAGCAGCTATATTCTCTCCCCAAAAATTTCGTGAGCTTTGAAAATCTGCAGGTGGAGAAATACTCCAAAACCTAAGGTCTTACTACTCTGTTTTAGTTCATATTTGTGCTGTGGTTCATCTGCTATATTTATCATTAGCTTTAAATATACAATGTCACATACATTGTACAGAAGTTTCCCTATGTCTACTCCTTCCACTTTTAGTTTATCGCATTATTGATACCTGACAGAAGGGTTGTGGTCCAGGATGAAACCTTTCAATGTTTGCACAATGAATAATCATGGTCACAGGGGTCAAGTGTCTTAAGATCTTTCAACAACTCTTTCTAAACAATCAAGAAGCTAATTTGCAATGATTAGCGCCCTTTGATGAAGGGCTGCAAAGTTTGTTTAAATTAATGACCTTGTCACACTTTCAAAGTTAAAGGATTCAAAAATGTCTTTAAATAGCTTCTCAATAACCTTAAAACCCACTGGGTCCTGATGGATGAAGGACTACCTATGTATTTTGATCACCTATAACATACACATATATCTGTAAAGAAGATATTTCATGTCTGGTTTGAACTTGAAAGTAACCAAAATAAACTCTTTCATTTAAGTTCTCACTCTGTATAAATATTCATGAAAATACATGCCCTTTAGGCCTTTGATTTGTCTGTTTACTCACAGTTTGTGATTTTGGGTTATTTACACTTTTTCATTCTGTTGTCAATTTTATGGCATTTATTGATGCATTAACAGCTGCTACACTGTTAATGTATAGATTATATATGATTTGAATAATTTAAAAGTACATTGCATGTGAGGGTGGTTGGGAAGCCTCTTAGTTGTAATATTTATCTTACGAAATGTTTGTAATACTCATTACTTATTCTTTTGTTTTAGATCCTCACTTGATATAAGGATGCAGAAGTAATCACTTTGCTGGTTGGTCTGACAGTATGGCTCAAGTGGTATCTCTCATCCAGGGGGCAAGTCGAGGAATAGGACTTCAATTTTGCCAAACAATACTGAAACGTCACCCGAACAGTGTCGTCATAGCGACTTGTCGTCAGCCTGATAATTCACTGGGACTTCAAGAACTGAAAGCCAAGAACCCAGACAGAGTAAATTTATGTGTACTAGACGTCAATGAAGATACACAAATTGAAAATGTAGCAAAATTTACGAAAGAAAAATATGGGAAGTTAGACTTACTGATCAACAATGCTGGAATGCTTCATACTAGTGGGCGAGGAGAAACAAGCTTACGGGAAATTTCTAGAAAGGTAATTATATATATACTGTAAACCAACCAAATTCGGCAAGTACGAAATTTAATGATTTTCGCATCACAAGAATTCCCCATCAATTCATTTTCACTTTATTATAATGGTGGTTGTCAATCCTGTCTTCACTTACCAGAGTTATACCTGATGATTTAGAAATAATACCATGGTAACAGACTATCTTTACCTTCTTATTTCTCATAAGATTATCTTTACCTCCTTATTTCTCATTAGATTATCTTGACCAGGCCTCGAATGTAACATTTCTTGTCACTTGCTGAAAACAGCAATTGCCTTAAATTTGTACATGCTAAAATGACTTTTTACTTGCTATTATCGCAAATCTCCATGTTGAAATAGTGTGTTTTGTTTTGTGATTTATAATGTATTACCTTGCTTCATCCAATATATATCAACATTATAAAAGAACTGCTTTGTCCCAATATTTTCACTTTGAAAAGCAAAACAATTTAATTCTGTGAAATGTTAGGAATAGACAGGCACTCACAGTTTGCATCTTATGAATCCACTTGCTGAAAAAAGCAAGTCATTATTTTTTCTACTTGCAATTCTTGAATTTCTGCTTGCAAATAGCCATTAAAAAGCCTTAAATTTGAGACTTGTTGGCCTCCTTATTTCTCATTAGATTATCTTTACCACCACAATTCTCATTAGATTATCTTTACCTCCCTATTTCTCACTAGGTTATCTTTACCGCCCTATTTCTCATTAGATTATCTTGACCTCCTTATTTCACATAAGATTATCTTGACCTCTTTATTTTTCATTAGATTATCTTGACCCCCTTATTTCTCACCAGATTATCTTTACCTCCTTATTTCTCATAAGATTATCTTTACCACCCTATTTCTCATTAAATTATCTTGGCCTTCATATTTCTTATCAGATTATCGTGACCTCTTTATTTTTCATCAGATTATCTTTACCGCCCTATTTCTCAATAGATTATCTTGACCTCCTTATTTCACATCAGATTATCTTGAGCTCCTTATTTTTCATTAGATTACCTTGACCTCCTTATTTCTCATTAGATTATCTTTACCTCCTTATTTCTCATTAGATTATCTTTACCACCCTATTTCTCATTAGACTATCTTTACATCCTTATTGCTCATTTCTGATTATGGCTTCTCATCTATTGGTTGAAATTAAGGTCATTTATACTTAGTGTCAGTTTAGCTAGTTGTTTTCATTGAAATTAACTTGAAAGACAGTTAGTCTTTTACAACTATAGATTTTGCAAAGGTGCAAAAATTAAGTATATAGTCCATCCATCAGAGTATTATATTGTCAGTTGTAAAACTCTACCCAAGGACCTTAGTGCAAATATCATCCAAGATTACAAGATATGTCACTTGATGTCTCTATTTACTGAGTTATTGCCCTTTGTTTATTCATAATACTGAGAATTGTCTTGAGTTGGTGGAACATAGATGGTTTGCAGTTGTAATATGATTTTATCATGTGGTGATCATGGCTATCAGTTAGTAAAGGATAAAATCTAATTTCCATGGACATTAAATTCATTTTGGTGACATGTCAATGAGCAACTTATTATTTTGTATTTCATTTAAGATTTGATTATTTCCTGATGGAACAATATTTTTCAAAGTTGACACCTGAAGTTTTGCCTAAATCCAACAGTAGAGTTTAAAAAGAAAAAAAAAGAGGAAAAATTCTTTAAAATCCTAAAGACATATAGAATGATTTCAATAATAGCTAATGTTATCTTTCATTTATGTATTTTATTCTAGGGTCTCATGGAAACTTTTGAAACAAATACTGCTGGGCCTTTGTTAATGGCGAAACATTTTGCCCCACTCCTCAAATTAGGATCCGGTTATTTTGGAATTAAGCCAGCTGATTCAAAGAAGCAACACTGTTCAGTACTAGTCAATATGTCTGCCAAAGTTGGATCCATCACGGACAACCGTAAGTTATCTTGCAAGAACTCATGTACCTTTTTTCTTCTGTTTGATGTTGATTAGGAATTAATAATTCCTCTGTCAGCAACAGTATATGTGTGTATTGTGTATCACACTTGAGAGCAGTGTCATTTTGTTAGTACTTGTAGTTGTTTTATGTTGATTTAATGGGGAATAAAATCAGTTCCAAAAAAGAATACATCCCAATATCCTATTATGACTTTTATCAGAGATATATATAACGCATAAACATCTCTTAATTTTCTTTTCATCGTCACAAAATATTATGCATTAATTTATTTTATTCAAGTGGTATTTTATGAACTTCAATAAACAATAAAAAGGTCTGTTGAGTAAAATAAGTGAAAGCCTATATCAATGACAAGGTCAAACTGCCACCAGCTACTTAATAAGTCACTATTTTCATAACCATGCCACACTTTGATAGAAAGGATTGAAATGTCTGGTATATATCTATAAGCTAGCCATGGAGCATGCTTCTAATTCCCAATAATAACACAATTCCTAAACGTTAAATTTTATCAGTCATGGGTGCAGAACATTGGGGATACGAGTATGAATCTGAGGATGCATTCAAAAAGTAGAAATCTTCTTTAATAATAATTGAAAAAGTGTAAATAACATATCTGTTTATGCAAGTTATTTACTCATATCTGATGTAAAATTTCTTGTATCTTTGCTGTTCCATGTATTAGTGTATCCCATATGATATGTAGTAAACAATACATTGCACTCATGATGCAATAAATGAAAGATTACTCAGGTTAGGAAATAATCTACATTGGATCCTTCATATTAGTCAACAAAAAGCTGGGAAACTGATGCAATAAATGAAAGATTACTCAGGTTAGGAAATAATCTACATTGGATCCTTCATATTAGTCAACAAAAAGCTGGGAAACTGATGCAATAAATGAAAGATTACTCAGGTTAGGAAATAATCTACATTGGATCCTTCATATTAGTCAACAAAAAGTTTGGAATAAGCATTAGATATTGATTCTGCTGCATGTTTTCTCTGATGAAATGAATTTGCATTTTCTTTTGACACTTTCGATAGATTAGGATTTAAAACTAATGTTTTCATAGTCGTCTGTCCATTTAATGTGTGTGCAGTGTTGATGTGCCAGTGACACTGCATTTTGGTGCATGCATAACATTTTTGTAATAGCAGTGCACATGAATCTGATGTTTGTGAACATCTGATTCCTGTGGTGATTGGCCATGCTAACATAACATATGTTTCCTCATTGAAAACACCTGTTTAGTATAATCATTTGGAAGAATGTATAACTTAGGTTAAGTCTAGTAGAAGCTTATAGTAGAAGTGAGCAATCCAATTTGTGGGATGAACCATATTTGTCACTACAAAATTTATATGCACCTTCACATGTGTCATATGTAACATACAATGATAAAGATAGTTAGATAAGAAAGAAAAACAATGAACTTTTGTGTCAGCATAATGGATATTTCATCTAAATAAATCCTCACACCTGTTGTAAAGTTTTGATGTTGTTTAAGTACAATATACAATGCCAATGCCAGTGGCTGACTCTTGAATTGGAATTAAATTTTTTTTCACTCAATTGTACATTTTGCACAAATTTCACTGATTTGATGGTAAAATGTATTCAAAATTTCAAATCTGGCTGTTGATAGTAATCTTCTATAAAAGTGTTTGATTGTTTTGTGTGTGACAGATTACTACATCTTGCATTCAAAGTTACAAATATGTAAATATCAACACATTTAGTCTTTCAGTAATTTCAGTTCTTTGATTCAATGGTTAGACTTTTATTTCTAAGTACAATTGTTTTTTGTAAATTTCATCAAAATTCTCATATGACGGAGGATGAAGGAGAAGCTTAGTTGATTGCTATATGCATTAGAATTTACGATTTCATTTTTTCACAAATTTTTCAGATCTTGGAGGATGGTATAGTTATCGTATGTCCAAAGCAGCTCTGAACATGTGCAGTAAAAACTTGAGTATAGAGCTAGGTCGAGGCAGTAAACCTGTGATATGTGTTTCACTACATCCTGGAACCGTGGATACAGACCTCTCGCGACCCTATCACAAAAATGTGCCTAAGTTATTTACCACTGAGTACAGTGTTGATTGCCTAATGGACATTGTGGAAAGTCTTACAATTTCAGACACTGGAAAGTTTCTGTTGTATGATAGAACTGTATATCCATTTTAGGTATCATTCAACCTGTGTAATCTACCATCTTGTGAGACACAATGTCAACAGGAGGGTTTTACGACAATACAAGTGGGGCTAAAATAAGAAATGTTTCTACGGCTAGTGTAGACAAAGTGTATTCCACTTCTGTTTGTCGTGGAGATCACTCAGTCCACATCACACAGAGGTGTTAATTTTTCTCCCAATAATTGATATTTTTCTGATGAATTAATAACAAAATTAAAAAAAAATCAATGAATCATATTTAACAACAAAATGATAATAAAATATAAAACCACAAACAATGGTTTTTTTTTTTTTTTTTTTACTTTTTATTGAAAGAAAGATGTTGGCTGTCAACAGTGCATGAGCATTGCATTTTACATGTATAGTTATAAAAACGCAGACTACATAGTACCAGTAATGATTTATCCAACACCGCACAGCATCGATACACAAACCTACAATATATTTTCACTAAATTAAAGAGATAAACCATTTTACAAGTTTCAGATTGTTAAAAAAATTTAAAACTTTGAAGTTTACTGATGATAAGGCATTAGAATGTTATATCAATTTTTTAGTTTTGCGACACAATTTTGTAACTTAGAAGTTCATATTCTGCACTAATCTCATGGTATGCAAACCCACAGTTAGGTGAGACTTTCAATATAAACAAATGTAATTGATTCAATTTGATTTTGAAAATATTTTTTAAAAACATTTCAACTTAATGAAGTTAAATACAATGTAACTGTATATACCATGTTTTTGTATATCCATATAAAAAAATATGCTTGACATGTATTCCATATTATGAAATTGATATGAAGTTATAAAGACATATTACAGAAATGTAACAAGATTTACAATACTGTACTGTCACTGATAGTGATAAATATCTGTAATCAGCTTTCACTAATTAGTGTATCCCTTCTGTTACAAGAAACAAAAAGACCATGATCAACAGCTAATTCTATGTTGGAAGACCTCCATATGACATCTCGGTTTTACCTAAAATATGTCTTCTGTTGGTATAAAAACAAAATGTTATCTGCCATTTCATGTAATATTCTCAGCTATATTGTACAATCTTTGTCACACAACCAATAACTTTATTAATGAACACAAGCTAATAAAGAACATTTATGAATATGATGACGATTTCATGAATAGCTGATGTATTGATCTCATTGAGAGGTAGCAATATTGCTTCACTAGGGAAAAGGCCATGAACTAAAGCAAAGCATACAATAAAGCTGTTTTTGCAGAAAGCACTAAAATATTAAATAATTTCACCTAGATGTATGTACAGGAAACCAAGGAAAAGCAAAAATAAAAGTCAAACGTAAAATTCTTAGTAAATTATCATCGACATCACTTGACTGTATAGTGTTTGTACTGTAGAATATATTAATCAGATTACTTTACATAGATGATTTAAGCAAAACTGGAAACATACAAGTGGACAATTTCAAAACTGGCATCTCTTTACATCTTACATTCAGCTTCATTACACCATATTAGGTCATCATACAAGGATTTTGATAAGAAATGTCAGATTCAAGATTCACAAAATACTTTTGATTTATTTGGAATCAAATGCTGTCAAACAGCTTAATTCCTTTTTTTCCTTGCTTGAACATTTCAACTAAGCACAAAAGCCATTCATTTACAGAATGTACACATGCACTAGTGACCAATATACAACACCTTGAATAGTGTCAATGGTAAATGTTGTAATCATTTTCATCATGTCTTGAAATCATTTAATTCATTCAGTTATTAGATCATCTAATCATCACAGAACAAAAACATTTCCCTTTTAACTTCACATGATTACTCTTGTACATGTCCATTTTAAAAAAAAAACAACTTTTTGATTGTTATCCATAGAAAAAAAAATTCTGTATTACAATGAAAAATAAAAGCCCTATTGTACAGAGCCAGAATGGTCTAAATAAAAGCAAAAACTGCCAAGGGGGAGTCAATGCATGTAAAACAGTCAATCTGATTAAAATGCAAATCATCAAAATATGTTATATTATGAAGTATGAAGATCTGACAGTGGCCGTTAACGGGTCATGTTCAAGTAATCTTTCAACCAACCAATCAAAATAATACTTGCAAAGTCTCATTTCTCTTCAGCTTTTAACATTGTTGGTTGACATTTTGTAGGTAATAACCGAGAATCTGGAGTCTCAAACATTCCAAGCAAAGAAAGACAAGTTTTGATAGGCTAAAAAAATACTTTTAGCTGGTAAGCATTAGGGTTATCTGAACATGACCCCTTAAATCATCAGATCTTCATAATATTGTGTATAATGATGAACTGTATTTTAATCAGATTGATATGACAGTATGAATTAACATGTAGTGCTTGACTATAAATGTTAAATATGATGGCACAACACAAAGATATTTACATGATCACAACTGGTGGTAATTATATATATAAATCAGTAGAAAGAAAGTAGAAGTCTGGAATGTTATATATAAAAAAATACTTCTTTTCATACAGAAAATAATTATAGAAAAAGGGGAATGATTTAATAGAATGAAAAAAGTCTGTAAAATTGAAAATCTGGCAACATCTGTGTTACCTATATACATTTAAATATCAAATTATAACTTCATATCCAGTATGTATCTCGCACAAAAGTCTATAATTATGAATATCTAACTGAATCACCAAGCACCATCAAAATAAGACTACAATATCTTTAATATGAACACCAATAAGGTTTTACTGCTCGAATCCTACATGTGAAGGAGAGAAGTGTGACTATACGGAGTGAAGAGTTTAAACCTTCTATAATACACTAAGAAAACAAATGTAAATACATACTTTATGTACACATTATACGTAAACATCTAAACAAATACCTGTCAGTTATACAATCATGCTTTCAAATCCCTTGATATTCGTATTTCATCATTTTCTAAAGGCATTTGGATGAATTAAAACCTTTCTTTCAATTTGTTGTATTTTAAAATTTCCTCAAGCCACTGAAGGGAAAAATTATTATGTACTCAATGATTTTGGTTTTTGGCCCCAGTTTTATCACTTAATCTTCAGAATTATTCATAATTTCAAAAATTCAGTCAGATTAACAGAAAGAGCATGTTGTTTACAGTATTTAATGAGTTTATCAAAAATAAGTCTAAAAGTTTTTGAATGGCACATTCTCCCTCTTAGACACTGCAAAAATATGGCCAGTATATTGACGATGATTTCAACTCTTGGTTCACAAGAATATGGGAGGTTAAAAAACTGAATTCACTTCACATGTTATCAAACCGTAATAAGGCAGTTTATTTACAAGACTAGACAAACGTAAATTTTGAAAAAATATTTACATGAAACCTGCTTCGAAGACCACAAACACTTAAACATATTTTTGAAATATTACCTGTATCGATCACATGTCTATCAGGACCACTTTACAATATAGATCACTTGTCTATGAAGACCATGAAGTCTTTCATTGATTTAACCTGTCTATAAAGACCACTGTATAGATAACTTTTCTATCAGACCATGAAGTCTTTCATTGATTTAACCTGTCTATAAAGACCACTGTATAGATAACTTTTCTATAAGACAATGAAGTCTTTTATTGATTTAACCTGTCTATAAAGACCACTGTATAGATAACTTGTCAATAAGACCATGAAGTCTTTTATTGATTTAACCTGTCTATAAAGACCACTTCAATATATTGATCACTTGTCTACAAATATAAACATTTTATATATAGAGGTCACTTTTTCTGTAAAACAACCTTTTAATATAGATCACTTGTCTATGTAAACTAGACTAAGAGAGAATCTATTTTATATAGATCACGTCTTTTAAGACCAGCCTTTATCAGAGATTACCTGTCTTTAAAGACAATAAAACTGTCTGTCCTGATGGTCCAATACTTTTAAATAGGTTTGACACAGCCATCACAATTTGATTTAAAATCATATCTTGATCAGTTCTATCATCCAGTAAACTACACTGTTCTACTCAAAAGTACATACTTGCATGAAATATCTATCAGTGAAAAATTTATCTTAAGTTGATAGTCTTATTCAGTAACCTTGATCAGGAATTATTAGTATGATGGCAACTGCTGATGCAAATTTAGTCTGAGATTCAATATTCCATCAGTGAGTATACCCTGTCTGCCCTTACTCCATTTCTTTTTAACAGTAATTATTACAATTATGCAGGTGAAGAGCCATTTTATCACATTCATGACACCTATGTCAGGTTTTACCCCTAACATGGTCTCTCTGTCTTACCCTAGTTTGACAAAAATATACTGTAACATCACCTACTAACACAGTTGCATCAGCTAAAGTTAACTGTATTGAAGGTGTTAAATTGATTAAATGGCAAGAATCAAACACGTTTACATCCTCCTTTAGCATAAGTATCCAAACACTCACATAAAAATGTGTTTAATCAAAGCTTAAACCTTACATAACTAAATATAACTCTATCAATGAATAAACCTATATAAAACTTTTTCTTCAACGGTTCATATACATTTCCATATATAAAAATAAAACCGACACAAATGATTGAAACCTGTCAACATATTGGTTCTGATGTTGTTGATGAATTAACCTGTATATTTATGACTTTCAGCTATGCAGAAGTGTATAATTATGCATTTCTATGTAAAATGAATGTCTGTAACACATGTTTATCAACCTGTAAATGTTGTCCTCAGTGGTGGTCCAAGACCTTTATGCTAGGTTTCACTGCACTAACACAAAAAAAATAAATAAATTTCAAGTTCTCTGTAATGTATACTTTACAAAATAAACAATATAAATTATCAATTTAAAAAATAAGAATATTGAAACAACTGGAATGTAATTGTGAACAGTGGACAAGGATTGATTGTAACATGACTTCCTATAAAATTTTTGTGATCAGCTCTGCTTCCCAATTTCCAATTTTCTAATGATTTCTGATGCTGTGAAGATACAGGAGTCTAAAATCCCAGCAACAGTAAAAGTTCCTCCTACTATGGCACAAATCTGCAAAAATAATAATTAAAAAAGCAGATAAATATATATACATTTAAACAATAAACAGTTACCAGATGGGGTATACATCTGTTGCAAACACAATGCAGGTGGAAGACAGAATGGTGTCTGTTAATTTTTTTTGTTAAAATCTTACTTGTCGTAAGTCCATCATCTTCTTATATGTCAGTTCATTTCATATTGATAACGAAGTGAACTTGACGAGCAGCCAGTTTTGTTTACCTAGGAGACATCTAGACTTATTCCTTCCAACATCGACCGTGATGAATGCTATACAGAATGTAAATACTACAATTATATCTACTAGATTTATGTTTTGATGGGTGTCTCACCTTGACCTCCAAATGTGAATTCATATGCTTGACCAGATAGGCATTCATAGCCTGATATACTAGTTACATAATGGTTTACATAGAATAAACAGGAATCTGGTGGTAGAATGGAAATATATATACATAACCATCAAAATTTAATAGCTAACATTATGATATATATATCTTCATGGAGCTCAATTTTTTCATTATGATACTAACAATCTATTTTCAAATTTTTGAAAGTTTATTAATTTGAAGAAATATATCAATAGCTTAAGAGTACTCACAAAATCAACAAAATGGAAAAAATCTCATGAAAAAGTCCATAATAACCTACCTCATTGTATAATTAAAATCTATTGAGTAACTTAAACAAGATCAAGTCTCATTTACTCTGTTAGATATTACTTCTGTATGCCAACTATATATATTTGATCAAGCAATAAGAATACTAGAGATTTATTTGCACTTCTTAAAGATTCCATATCAGAATGGAATTATAGCTCCAATCTCAATTATTCAGGAATTTGAAAGCATTTAATAACACAATATTTTTCATTTCAACCAGCCACCCCTGCCTTCAATTTATTCATTATTTATTCCTATATTTTATAGGTCTTTAACCTCATTTTCTGTTTATTTCTTGTAGTAGAGTTTGCTGTTCTTTGTACTTCTACAGGTTCTATACTTCACTGGGTTTCTTAAAAGGATGAAGAGAGATGGAAAAATACAGGCATTTCTTTACGCAGACAAAATTAGGTCAGTTTCCTCATAGATTAGTTCAGATTCCATATGAATAAGGTTAAGTTCTTACATATATCAATAACTAAAACTAGATGTATTAGTGAGAAATGAGTGCAAACTAAAGCAGTTTCTTTATATGTTTCATAATCAAAGCCCATAACTCTGGAAATAACAGATCAAATCTAACAAAAACTGAACATACACTTTCTCATTATACAACTATATGCCAAATTTCAGTTCAATTTCTACATCCACCAAAGACTTCAAAGAAACCAAATAATGATGGAACCAATTGAAGAGGTAACACTATACACACCCAGCTGTTTTATGACAAGGGTATAAAAATAAATAAAATTCACATGACATGAGATGTTTATAAAATATTCACTTACTGTTGTAAGGAATGTGTAGAATGGTTTTCTTCTCTCCATGTATCGTACTGTGATAGGACTAAGATCGTATCGGAACCAAATAGCAGGCATGATCCTACCTCCGTGTCCGTATTGTAACATGTCCTGTGTACAGAGATTACAAGTGAAACAGGAGTAAGACAATGAAAACAAAGACTAGCAGATTTGAATTAAGTCATACATTCACTGTATTTATTATGTATGTTAATTTTATGATCTTATATTTACAGTGAGTAAGCAATTTTGCGTGAAAAAATCCACCATTTGTGTATATAAATCTAGAATAATAACAATTTACCACTCACTACAATATGGTCTTAACACATGTACTTTCTTTCTATTTGTTTTGTAAGTGTAAATACACAGCAATCAAGGACAACCACAAAGAAATTCGCTGGGATATAATCTTCATATTTCTCTCAATATATAACTGTTGTCAATTTTTTAACTTAGAACTTCATTGATATAATTTATAAGCTGCAGTTAACTAAAAACTACATCAATACATTATTTTTACACATAATAGATAGATACATGTATCCTATATAACTCGGTAATGGACCAACCTAAGTCCACTGCAGTTTCAGAAAAATTCAAACAAATTCTACATGTAGATCATCAATCTTTGATGCAATAACCTTCTACTTTAGGTCAGAGGTTACATCTTGTTCCAATCATCTCTTAAAAGGATAATGACAATAAAACTGGGGAATTCATATAAATCGTGTTATAAGCCTAGTGGTGAACACACAAGTTCTGTAAGTTTGGCTTATAACCAGACACAGACCTATAACCAGACACAGGCCCATTACCAGACAAAGGTTTACAACCAGACACAGGCTTATAACCAGACACTGGCTTATTACCAGACACAGGCCCATTACCAGACACAGGCTTATTACCAGACACTGGCTCATTACCAGACACAGGCTTATTACCAGACAAAGGTTTACAACCAGACACAGGCTTATAACCAGACACAGGCTTATTACCAGACAAAGGTTTACAACAAGACACAGGCTTATAACCAGACACAGGCTCATTACCAGACACAGGCTCATTACCAGACAGGCACATTACCAGACACAGGCTCATTACCAGACACAGGCACATAACCAGACAGGCTTATAACCACACACAGGCTTATTACCAGACAAAGGTTTACAACCAGACACATGCTTATAACCAGACACAGGCTCATTACCAGACACAGGCTTATTACCAGACAGGCTTATTAACAGACACTGGCTCATTACCAGACACAGGCCCATTACCAGACACAGGCCCATTACCAGACAAAGGTTTACAACCAGACACAGGCTTATAACCAGACACAGGCTTATTACCAGACACAGGCCCATTACCAGACAAAGGTTTACAACCAGACACAGGCTTATAACCAGACACAGGCTCATTACCAGACACAGGCTTATTACCAGACAAAGGTTTACAACCAGACACAGGCTTATAACCAGACACAGGCTTATTACCAGACAAAGGTTTACAACAATACACAGGCTTATAACCAGACACAGGCTCATTACCAGACACAGGCTTATTACCAGACAGGCACATTACCAGACACAGGCTCATTACCAGACACAGGCACATAACCAGACAGGTTTATAACCACACACAGGCTTATTACCAGACAAAGGTTTACAACCAGACACATGCTTATAACCAGACACAGGCTCATTACCAGACACAGGCTTATAACCAGACACAGGCTTATTACCAGACAGGCTTATTAACAGACACTGGCTCATTACCAGACACAGGCCCATTACCAGACAAAGGTTTACAACCAGACACAGGCTTATAACCAGACACAGGCTTATTACCAGACACAGGCCCATTACCAGACACAGGCCCATTACCAGACAAAGGTTTACAACAAGACACAGGCTTATAACCAGACAAGTTCATTACCAGACACAGGCTCATTACCAGACAAAGGCTCATAACCAGACACATGCTTATAACCAGAACAGGCTTATTACCAGACAAACGTTTACAACCAGACACGGGCTTATAACCAGGCACAGGATTATTACCAGACACAGGCTTATTACCAGATAGGCTCATTACCAGACACAGGCTCATTACCAGACACAGGCTTATTACCAGACAAAAGTTTACAACCAGACACAGGCTTATAACCAGACACAGGCTCATTATCAGACACAAGCTCATTACTAGATAAGGCTTATTACCAGACACTGGCTCATTACCAGACAGGCTTATTAACAGACACTGGCTCATTACTAGACACAGACTCATTACCAGACACAGGCTAATAACCAGACACAGGCTTATAACCAGACACAGGCTCATTATCAGATAAGGCTTATTACCAGACACAGGCTCATTACCAGACATGGGCTTATTACCAGACACTGGCTTATTACCAGACATAGGCTTATTACCAGACACTGGCTCATTACCAGACATGGGATTATTACCAGACACAGGCTTACATCTATAACCAGACAAATGTTGATTACCAGACACTGGCTCACGTCTATAACCAGACAGGCTTATAACCAGACACAGGCTTATTACCAGACACTGGCTCATTACCAGACACAGGCTCATTACCAGACACAGGCTTATAACCAGACACTGGCTTATTACCAGACAGGCTTATTACCAGACACTGGCTCATTACCAGACACAGGCTTATTGCTAGACACTGGCTCATTACCAGACACAGGCTTATTACCAGACACTGGCTTATTACCAGACACAGGCTTATTACCAGACATGGGCTCATTACCAGACACAGGCTCATTACCAGACACTGGCTTATTACCAGACATGGGCTCACTACCAGACACAGACTTATTACAAGATACAGGCTTATTGCTAGACACTGGCTCATTACCAGACACAGGCTTATTACCAGACATGGGCTTATAACCAGACACAGACTTATTACAAGATACAGGCTTATTGCTAGACACTGGCTCATTACCAGACACTGGCTTATTACCAGATATAGACTGATTGCTCGATTAATACATTAATGCTAAGTTATTTTTTTTCTTCGACAGTAAATGTCCTTACTCTGTGTGAGTATGTATACTGGTAGGGAAAATGAATGTTTCCTTTGATATCCTCATACACTGTAGGAACAATCTTCACGATGTAGTCATGGGTATGAATGGCTGTAAAATAAAAACAGTTTTTAAAGGATATTTATCTTTTCATACATTAGACAGCAAAATCTCACATATATTAAATATATCCTGTACTAGATTTGTCAGTCTTCTTCAATTTGTCTGGCTGCATGCCCATGTGTATATGACACTACATGTCTTACACTGATAATTTGCCTCAGAATCCTTTCACATCACTTGTGATGTTGATACATATACAGTATGCAGTGGTAAATGGTGTTTCAAGAAAATACATTTTTCTCCTATTACAATTTGTAAATAAAAAGTGACATTAAATGACATGACATTAAGTGTTCCCACTTTATAACACATTAAACCATTCATCTGTAAGAAAAGTAAAGAAACACACAATGTATGTACGGTGTTTGTCGTAGGAGATGATTAACTTACCATTGGCTTGTGTCCTGTCGACATTTTCTAGAGGGTTAAAAGAACCCTTCACAACCTGTCAATATAACACAATATGTTTCCACATTAAGCAAATGATAACAAACTTTTTTAAAAGGTAAATGTGAAGAAAACACTGCAATTGTAGGCCATGTTACCTCATTTCAAATAAACATTTACTTTATTCTAAAACACTTCTTTTATATCAGTCTGGTTATGTCTTTTTATTATAAATCAAATTAGTTGTGACAGATGTAACGGGCCCGGAAAAATACCAATAACACTGCATTTTATCTGAATATGTAGATTGATTTCTCTGTGGAGATGTTAAAAAGAAACAAAGAAACATCTTATGCTGAAATCAGTTGTGGATACTATTCATGTTTGAGTATTGGGGTGTATAATCTTGTTTCAGAGTACAGATCATTCATGATTTTGAAAAAGAGGGACCAAAACTGGGACTTTTAAGGCTTACTAGTAAATTCTCTTCCTAAAACTTGATTTTTTTGTGATATTAGAATCAAAACTGGTAAGTAATGATGGAGAAAACACTTTGATCAGCTCTATTTATCTGTGGATTACAAGTCAGCAGATTTTTCTTCATCACTAGCACTTTACCTTATCTTCTTGTACATCCATTCCAAAGCGAACCTTGTGAATTATGTGTGTCATATCTGGGTTTTGTGGTTGAACTTTGGAGGAATGCGTTGACACATGGAAGTTTCCAGGAATCTAAAGAAGATTTGGAGATAAAGACGTACATTTTCATAATGTATATCATATACAGTGATTTCTGGGACTCGAATATTTGGGATGTGAGTCCCAAATATCACTGAACTCCTTCTTTTCTTGTGGAACTCACTCTAATTTTGAGAACCCAATATATATCTCTTTGTAACTGGACTCTTCACAATTTTGGGATTGATCACTGATAATATGTACAACGTGGCTTATATAGATTCATTTGTGTTTATTTCAAAGAACGAAGGAATTTAAACCTTAACACAATTAATCAATTTCAATCATGTCAACAAACAATATTTTTTCAGTGAAAATTTCATATGTAGTAAACAATGGAGATTTTTCTGTTAACAAGATATTTTCTTTCATTCAGAATCCACAGAGTCTTCAATAGATTTCAACAATTCCTGACAAAATGAAAGTTTCAGAACATACCTAACTAGGGATAACACATGGTAAAATGTTTATGTTATAATGATGAGTTCAGTGAAATTAACCTAAATACTTAGCGACTTTTTCATTTTTCAAATAACATATAGATATAGTAAAATGTTTATATCATATGTAACGAATTCAGAGGAAATAAATATAAATATAAACTTTATTCAATTTTCAACAATTATGAAACAAGCTTTCAACTTATATGAATTGCTCTTGTTGGCCCAGATGGAAGCACACAAGAAGTCTTGCTGTTGGAGGTAAACCCATGTGGTTTGGCAGGTGACCCCATACCTTTTCACAGCCATTTCGGGAATGGGACTCCAAACAGCTAGGTGAAAGATGAGTACATTACCACTGCGCCACCCAACCACCTCTAGGTGAAAATATTTACTGAATACTTTAGTGACCTTTTCATTTTTCCAAACAACAAAATAAGTGTTACCTACAGATGATTGTGAAATCTTTTACATACAACATTACATAATCAGATCCAAACAAAAGGACTTCTGGATAGAAAAAAATCACCTTATTCACAAGAAAGTGAGATTCCATTCGACAACCTTCAGTGCTTTCTGTAGTCAATTCAAACTTCTGTGTATTATCCTGGAAACCCACTTCATGTCTCCCCATGTCATCCTGAATATCTAGTCCAAGATCTGAGGGAAAATCATCAATCAAGTCTTGAGGATAAACAATCAAATTATGAAAACAGCATTACTCATATCTACATACAGTGCACAGCAATAAACCTTACAATCAGCCCAGGTCTAATAAAATGGCCACCAAAATCTATTAAAGCCTTGTATAACAATGCTACTAGATGTTATCCAGTAATGTTTAATAATTGTCCTGTAATACTATATCATTGTCTTGTAATGCTGTATCATTGTCCTGTAATGCTGTATCATTACCCTGTAATGTTGTAGCATTGTCCTGTAATACTATATCATTGTCCTGTAATACTGTATCATTGTCCTGTAATACTATATCATTGTCCTGTAATACTGTATCATTGTCCTGTAATACTGTATCATTGTCCTGTAATACTGTATCCTTGTCCTGTAATACTGTATCATTGTCCTGTAATACTGTATCATTGTCCTGTAATGCTGTATCATTGTCCTGTAATACTGTATCCTTGTCCTGTAATACTGTATCATTGTCCTGTAATACTGTATCATTGTCCTTTAATGCTATAACATTGTCCTGTAATACTATATCATTGTCCTGTAATACTGTATCATTGTCCTGTAATACTGTATCCTTGTCCTGTAATACTGTATCATTGTCCTGTAATACTGTATCATTGTCCTGTAATGCTGTATCATTGTCCTGTAATACTGTATCCTTGTCCTGTAATACTGTATCATTGTCCTGTAATACTATATCATTGTCCTGTAATGCTATAACATTGTCCTGTAATACTGTATCATTGTCCTGTAATACTATATCATTACCATGTAATACTATATCATTGTCCTTTAATGCTATAACATTGTCCTTTAATGCTATAACATTGTCCTGTAATACTATATCATTGTCCTGTAATACTATAACATTGTCCTGTAATACTGTATCATTGTCCTGTAATACTGTATCATTGTCCTGTAATACTGTATCATTGTCCTGTAATACTATATAATTACCCTGTAATGCTGTAACATTGCCCTGTAATACTGTATCATTGCCCTGTAATAAGCCCGTTCTTTTCTTAAAGTCAATGGTTTTTGTATAACCCCACGTTGATTTATGACATGAAAAATGAATAAGATTTTCAAAATTCTGTTTACTTGTACAAATCATACGATCACAAAAGCTTTTATATTATCAATGGTTCATATTTCCAACCTCACATGTAGATAACATTGACTGAATCAGTGTCAATATAAATTTTAAAACTGTTTGAAAAGTAATCAACTTTAGCATATGGTGATAAATTATTCAATTCTATGATAACTGATAGACTGCGCTTGTCATATATAACATTTTGTTATCATATGTATGTTTTTAAATCTTATAATGGAATTGGGTCATTTAAGTCAATACATTAAGTTACTACATTACCTCCAATGAGAACTTTTAAATACAGGCAATATCAATAAATAAATACACAGTTTCTTGTTAAATCATATACTTTTCTGGTTTTATTCTTTAGTACTCACATTCACATTTGAGGTTAGGGAGGGTGATGTTGAGAAACACTGGAATCTTTTCTGAGTGTTTTACTGGATCCTCAACAGTTAGCTCACTTACTCTGTAAAAAAAGGTGAAAATTTAACAAAAAAATCACTTATATCAGAATTAGGAAGCTATGTTATTATTTATGCCCACTTCTAACAGACAGTTCCCTCATACCAAATATGGTAACTTATGTGTAACAAATTTCTTTTGATGACCGAGGTCAGACAGTGGTTGAAATATAGGCCCCACTTCTGCATATTTATTGCTCAGCAACAAGGTGTTTAAGGGTTGTTTTTTTTTTAGTTTTTTCAATAGTTTACAAGCCTAAAAACTTTGAATCCTGGGCATATCATTCAAGTCACATTGAACAAAATAATGTCATCATTTTAGCATGGAACATTCAGGTAAAAACTTTTGCACAACTATAATTAGATTGGTCTCCTATTTTTCTATGAAGGTATATTTCAATTATTTTTATTACAAATTCAATATATTTTAATTTCCAGAGCAACCAAGAATCCAATTCTGAACATATTATGTACCAATCTCTAAAAACTTGTCAAATTCACTTCAACATAATAAAATTATCATGTTTGTATCATACTAACGTTTCATGACTTATAAAGAGTGACAATTCAGACAGAAACAGAAAAAGTATAAACAGGACACTGCTGATAGAGATACAGGCTCCGGTTATGGTCGGCTGGGTCAAGTCCTTAGGAACCTTTCGGTAGATGTCAAACCTAGAAAAAAACAGAAAAAAGAATTCAATCAATTATATCACATACCCAATTGATTCAGATAAAATATTCTGGTATAGTTATTGTAGAAGACACATCCTGCCAGGCTCTCCTGCAGGAATTGAACCTGGATCCTTCAGGTGATAATCCACAGCACCACAGCCAATGAAACATTCTGCATATCAGCGAGAATGTTTAACATGATGTTAACTTTACAACTGCCCCTCAGTTTGTTGATATTTTGATTTTTATTTGCACTGAAATATTTTCAAAAACAAATAGTGCTGAGGAATGCCATGTTGACTCGAGAGAAAATGTAAGGTCTGCTTTTGTAAGTCAATAACATTCTTTTGAAAAGATACTTCTAATTTACACTTTCTAATATTTCTACCATAATGGTTAACTTGAGTTAACAGGATTGTGAACCTTAGAATTAATACAAAGTAAATCCAGTGTCCTGGGTTCAAGGTTCAAGATTTTAGTACCACTCAGACACATATACAATATGGGTTACATATGGAACATATTTATGCAAATAATAAGTTGCAAGTATGATGTTGGGAAAACAGACCTTTTTTCCGGGGATTGTTCTTTGTCATGAAGTACTGATGAGAAATTGGTTCAAAATTGTAACTGATTCTTGCTTAAAATTTGACAGGCTTTTTATACGTAGTTAATACATTACATAGTCAGCTGACCGTGTGTTCAACATCCATAGAAAGTGAATGAATTCTTTGTTGAAGTCATATAAACAAAAATACCTCACTTATAATTTGCAAAAGAATGAATACATTTGGCAAATGGCATCTTTATTATGCATATAAATATGGATTTTGTTTTTGCTAAATTACAAGGAAATCTTAGGTACCAATGATTAATCATAAAAAATTAGAATGGATCATTATATAAATGAGGTTAATCCATTGCATAATCAATTATATCCAATTATCCTCCCATCTCTATCAAAAAGTGGGTTTTTTAATCAGTCAATGAAAAAGTTTTTTGGCCTCCCTTTTAGTCTTTACCAAAATCCTTGATTGACAACTCTTAAGTGAGTTTGGCAGTTACATACTGGGTGCTGTTTTGAATATGACACCATATTCATTAGTGTCAAGTAAGGAAATAAACCCATGCCCCTGTTAACTAAACACTTTCTATATTGACAAAAAGAAATGAGGTATCCAATTTTGTAATTATACATATCAAATATCAAGCACACAAACAGAGCATATTTATTGATGCAGATCTTACATGTTGTTAAGTGTGTTGTATTTACTTTCGTTAAATATTGGGCGATTTGGTAGAAAGTTAAAGTTCATGTATACTATATATAGTTTGCGAAACTGATTCTTAACCAGGAAACATTTCCTCAAATTTAGTACTTGATACAACAAACCATCACACATGGGTAAGATACACTGTTTGTATTCAAGAAGATGACAGTAGTAAGAAATAACACATTTGCTACCATAAATATCCTATTGTAGTCTTGGAGAATTATGTAGGAGATTAATTTCACTATCTTAATATCCATGTAGGCAAATTGTAGGTTTGAGAATTATTTTCCTGATCCATGTACCTTCATGTATCTTATGTATGCATTAATATGTATGTAATACATGTATGTCACAAATTCATACACCCGAGGAAAATTTACCCTGCCTGATAACTTCCGTGTATTTGGTGTAACCCTAATACATCAATTCTCATGTTTACAGCAATGTCTTATATCTGTCAAGGCTTCTTTAAATGGTAATTTTACAATATAGACTCTATTGATATAGAGCAGTGCTAGACCGAATTTCCTCCGACTCCTCCACCAGACAGAAGACAGACAGATGCATGGTATAAACAGACTGATAGATATATCTTTCCATCAAAATGTCTATAGTCCGATGTAGGAGTCAGAGGAAACTCAGGCTAGGTAAAATTAATTTTAATATTTAAAGATTTTACACAACCTTTACAATAAAATTCATTACTTCAGACATCATGTATCATTATGACTTGTAAATCAAATAAAAAATATTCTGTCAATGTCCTGTCTGTTCGGGCCTTTTTTACCTGTTTTTTCCCCACATGACAAGAAATTTCAATACTACAACATTAAGACATAAATCATACAGTTATATATGACAGCTAATGATATGTGTATATGTATTTACAAACATCATGCTTCCACGTATCTTATACATAAGTCATCTATATATTTTAGTTAGGTTGACCAGGTGTATTGTCTATCTAGTAACACTGCCTCATATTTGCATCTAGATGCTAATCTTCCCAATTTTACCTTCAAATGGTAAATTTTACATTTTACATACTTGCTTTCAGTTTCACATGGATATGAAATTATTTTGCAATGTAGACAGGTTAAATAAACAATAATGCATCATTCCCTTACCATACATTATTTTATTAAGTTGTTTAAGTCTTTAGCCATCCTTCCCCTTCCCAACTTCAACTTTGCATAGTGATTTTGTTATGATACTCGTTTGAATACCTGCTGAGTTTATTTAAAATTGATGTCAAGCTGTTTAATGTCGCATTTAAGTTAATACAAAATCCAAGCAGTATTAGAGTATACTTTACTGCTATCCAGAAATCCCTTTCTGGCAAATATCTAGAAATTCAGTAAAACCTTTTTAAAATTTATTTTTGGATTTTTCATTTGATGATATTAGATTCTGATCAATTTACTTTTATTGTCCATTGCTAATGGTTAAGACGAAAATGTGAAACAATATTTTTTTCCAAAAAATTTCTATAAATTGAGTGTATTTCTTTTTTAATGACAAACATACTTTCTGTATAGAGCCTCTCATCAAAGTAGATTTTCCAGAAAATTTTCGAAAATTGATATTTTATAACATTTTAGAAATAGGTCCCTTCAGACCCCTTTGACCTCCCTGTTACTGCAAGAAGGCAGATTATTTTCCAAATATTTCAAATACTCTTTGAAAATTTTTAAAATCATTTCCAAGATTTTATATGCAGTCCCAATTTCTTTATAAACTTATCAGGTATCATCACATGATGATAATGTGTCTGTGTTATTCTGCAGGCAATATAAATCATTATCGTTGATTTACTGCAATAGGTTATATATACTAACATATGGAATATTGCATTAAAAAATGAAAATGTTAACTTATACATATCTATCCTGTTCAATTGTATATTGTAATTTGACCTTGAATATATTGCAGTTGAGTGTAGGCTAATCTTTACACCCTAGTTCACTCCTTGTGCACGAGGAAAAGACTTATAGTTCATAAGGAAAAGATTATAGGTAAATATAATTCAAACTTTCAAATATATATTAGATATTATTGCTTTATTTCATTTGCACTAGGATCCAAAATCAGATCAGGGGTTGCCAGCGTCCCCACTTCCCTTCACATCCTGTTCTTTTGAACTAGTATTAACTGTTCATTGTACGACTGGTAAATATTGAGCATCTGGTTACCTTGACCAATCCACAGAGCAATTAACTAATCAGTTTCACCATTGTTAGGTTGTTAATCTCCTACTGGCAGTACTGGGGATCAGCAAGATTGTGTGCACACACTGTACAATGTATATCTCTTGTAACTAGCCAACCATATAAACTGAAGGTAAAATGTGAGAGGCTTGACCAAGTTAAATCAGCAAAAAGAGATCCCAGAGGGATCTTGGCACCCAATATTGTTTGATCTTTTCACTTCTTTTGTCTTCCCTGTTTTTGTTCTTAATGATAAGAAATTTGAACATTCCTTAGCGGAAATAGCAATGATAGTCATTACCTACCAAATCCAAGATAGTTGTCTGGAAACCATTTTGTTTTTTTTCTGATTAGTCCCAAAATCAAGCTGGCACACATATAGACCAAAGGGAACATGAAATTTAAGAGAGAGATCCATTCATTACATCTTAAGTAATGGGGATAACAATCTTTACTACACAAAATCCAAGATGGCTGCCTGTTGGCCTTTGGTTTTTTTTATCAGTACGGAAATCACATGAGCACAACTAATGATCCAGGGAAACATACAAATGAAATTAACGATTTTACCTGTAGCAGAACCCCCAGCTTATAAAATGAAGAGGTCTCTGTCACTTTATGTAGCTGTCACATTACATATAAATTTCATTTCCATTGTATTGATTGATAAATGACATCTATCTAAATCATCAAACTTGGGTACTATGATCAAGTAGCTATTTCTAAATATAAACAGTTGACCATAACACAATGATATATTTCAATAAGTTTTTATTCATTTCTGTTTTAAATCAAATAATTTAAATATAAAATTCACTTTCTTATATCTATTTATCATAAACTTTTTATTACTCATTTGAGAATTTCCAGTAAATAATGCTATCAAATAATTAATATCATAACAATGTAAACTCTGCTAATTATATAATCTCTCCTCCAAATAGGATGGCTTTCATTCATCACAGATCTTTATTTCCTATTTAATCTATGTTTTTCCAAGTAATAATTATCATCACTAGTTAAATTTTTTGCTATTCAAATTATTTTTGTTTTGAATTATGAAATGGATAATTATTTACGTTAGAATAAAAAAAACAAGGTCACTGTCACAACTGTAGGATAAGTATACAGTTAAAGACTTCTGACATCACACAGATAGCCATAGGCACTGTCTATTACCTATATTGGGGGAGAAAGCTCCATCACCTGTACCAGGTCTAGTGTACAAATAATTAACCTGTTGTCTAAGCCTCGTCTAAATAAACATAGTCTTCATCTTGTGCACTATAAGTGCATTATAGGTGTAAATATTATGGATAAACGTATTAACCCAGACAATGTCCGCAATGAATATGGTACAAGATTATTGAATTTGTGTAAAGCTACAGGTCTGAGGATACTGAATGGCAGAGACCCAGAAAAGTTATCAAATGGTTTTACTTTTAATGGTACAAATGGCATGAGCACGATTATCTTATAGCGAACCCTGTACTTTTCCCGCATATTAAAACTTTTATTGTATGTAACTTCAATGAATATTCTGACCACGCCCCCCTGCACGTAGAACTACGTGTGAGGGTATCGCGGGATGCGCCCATCACAGACGAGTCAATTGGTGTAAGTAGACCAACATATAAATGGAATGAACAATGTAAAGTACAATGCTTAGTTGCAATCAGGGAAAATATAGACAAGATTAATCAGGTTGCTACTATTGACGGGGAGACAACACAAGAGGCCATAAATTCCAGTGTTTACAAATTCACACATGAACTATTACAAATACTATCACCGTTTACTACGAGGTCACGCGGGTCATCACGTGACAGCGCGACAAGGTCATCGGACAAATCCATTCCACGTGCACGAGTTCACCAAGATAATAAGCCCTGGTTCGACAGGCAGTTGCGTGCTTTGAGGAGAGAATACCTGACTGCATTGAATAATTTTAATAGAAATAAATGTGATGTAACCCATGAACTTTTAATAAGAAGGAAACGGGAATACAAACGTTCTGAAGCCGCATGTAAAAGGCAATATAGGAAGTTCGAGGGAGATATGATGGAACACTTACGGAAAACCAATCCACGATATTTTTATAAAAAATTCTCAACTACAAAATCCGATGTTTCAAATGTGTCGTTGGATGACTTTTTTAATCACTTCAAGGATTTAGCCATGAATCTTGATCCGCCGGATAATGAACGTTTAGAGGATAATGTTGATATGAACACCGTCTTTGATGAGCTTGACCGTAGTATATCTAGGGACGAAATTAAAAGCGCTATTAAGCATCTAAAACGTGATAAAGCGCATGGTTTAGACGGTTTATTAAACGAATATTTTATTGAAGCTGGTGACATTTTACTACAAGCCTTACACACTATTTTTAATAATGTATTTAACTCTGGATGTTTCCCTGAAGAATGGTCTAAAGCGGTGATGGTCCCGGTGTTTAAAAATGGTGATAAAAACGATCCTAATAATTATCGTGGAATAAGTCTCCTGAGCTGTATGGCGAAACTTTTTACATCTGTACTGAACAAAAGACTAGCAGACTGGTCGGAGGCGAATGACATTATCACAGATGCACAGTTTGGCTTTCGTCCTGGAACAAGTACGGTTGACGCCATTTTCGCGCTTCATGCCATTATTACAAAATCTCTAAATGATAGTAAACGTTTGTATTGCTGTTTTGTTAACTACAAGAAAGCGTTGGACTCTGTCAATCGTTGTAAATTGTGGTATAAATTGTCAAAATTAGGAGTTCGAGGAAGGCTGTTATCAATTTTGAAAGCTATGTATAAAAAAGTTATGACATGTGTCTCATCTAAGGGAAGATGTTCAGATTTTTTTGTAAACAATATGGGTCTCGCCCAAGGGGAAATTTTATCCCCAATTATGTTTTCAATGTATGTAAATGATTTTGAAAATGACTTTATTACTAACGGTATTAGGCCGTATGATTTTGGAGAACTCAGTCTCTTTTTATTAATGTATGCGGATGATTTGGTGCTACTTGCAGAATCAGCCAATGAGCTACAGAATATGTTAATTAGTTTGTCTATATATGCGAATACATGGAAATTGACCATTAACACGGCAAAAACTAAGATTGTTGTCTTTAGAAATGGAGGCCGCTTACGTAATAACGAGAAATGATTCTTCGATGGAAACAAATTAGAAGTCGTTGAACAGTTTACTTATTTAGGTATCGTTTTTAAATGGAACAATAAATTTAATGTTGTACAAAAGCAATTATCCGGGCAAGGTCGAAAGTCAGTATTTGCCTTATATACAAAATGTAAAAATTTGAATTTAAACTGCCATACCTTGATTAAACTTTTTGATACATATGTTAACAGTATACTGTGTTACGCATCTGAGGTATGGGGCTCGTGCAAAGGCATAGATATTGAGAAAGTTCACCTGGAATTTTGCAAAAGGATATTATGTGTTAAGAAGTCAACATGCAATGTAATGATCTATTTTGAATTGGGTAGATTTCCAATTGTACATACCAGACATTATAATTTAATTAAATACTGGTTCAAGCTTTTAAATACTAAGAACTGTGTTCTTAAAACTGCTTATGATGAACTCATGTATATGCCACAGCGAAATACTGTTTTTAATTGGGTAACTTTTGTGAAAGACAAACTTTTTTTAATCGGTCTTGGCGAAGTGTGGTTGAATCAACACAATGTGAACCCGTCTGTTGCCCTGCCAATTGTTAAACAGAGAATCCTTGATAATGCACGGCAAGAATTGTTTGAAATATTAGAGAATTCCTCGAAATGTTTTTTGTATAGACATTTAGTTGATAATTTAACATTGCAACAATATTTATGTAAATATATACCAAAGCGAAATAGAACTGCTCTAACTAGATTACGTTTATCAGCGCATATGCTGTATAGTGAAACCGGGAGATACCGAAACATTGTTAGAAATGAACGCATATGCAGAATTTGTAATTCTGAAGATATTGAAGACGAATATCATTTTTTGTTTATTTGTCCATTTTATCAAGCTTTAAGAGAGAGACGTATAAAATTGTATTACTGGAAAAAACCATCAGTTTTCAAGCTGATACAATTATTGAGTACAACGAACTTTAAAGAATTAACTATGTTAAGTAAATATATATATGATGCCACCCAGTTGAGGAATAGCATGATATAATGTTAAAATATATGTAACTACATGCATTTTCTGTCCATTCTCCACTGCGGTATTGCATTGCCTGCCACTGTATTTATATGTATTGTGTACATACTGATGAGCTGTAAAGCTCAAAGTCAATAAATGAATTTGAATTTGAAATATTACAATACACTCAACTGACACATCTTAAAACACATTGTGTGGTTGTCAAAATTATTCCTACATTATGTAGACTTTTATATACACATTGTATGCGTCTAGCAGTCATCAGAAGTTGACAGAATGGCAGAATAATTTAGACTTATTATATGAGTGATTTCTTAAAGCAAAAAGTCATGGAAATGATTAGTAAGGATCGACAAAACAAATGCAGACTACATTATTGTTTACATACAAAAATGTAGATATTATTAAAAATTAAAGGTACATATTTTGATTAAAACATGTAGACTTAGAATCAGTTCATTTTTTATGGAAAAATAGCACTTGGTATGATTTACATGTGGACTGAGCAGGAACATTTGGAATATTAAACTGAAGACATTATGATGGTGGGAAAGTCAAATTGTTCAACAAATTCAGATGTATTTTAGATTGAATTTTGGTTGAATAAAGTTTGTGAATGTATAGGGTCAAATTCCCCTTTTTTAAATGCACTTACTGGGCTGGAAAATTGTGATAGGTTCCAGTACACATGTATACCACATAAACAAACTTGCATTGGTGTAAGAACAATCAATTTACATGTAGATCATATATCTGTCGTATTGGATGCATGTATGTTGTATGTGATATCAATCACCTTTTGTTTCAAAGTTATCGGAGGAAATGCTTTTTGAATTAGGAGTATGAAATAAATTTTATGCTATTTTAAGAGTACAATGATAAAATACTAAGAAAAATTAGAAATGTCGTAAGTCCGTATAGCCAGCAGGTAAGTAACACGTATGCAGATCGCGAGAGCGAGACGTGATGATAGTATATAATCAGTCGGACTTACAGACCCGTCCAGGGTCAAAGCGGCTATCGCAATTGCTTGCACGCATATCAGCAAATGTAGGGGACTGAATTGGTAACGATACATACCTCCGAATGTCGAACTGCATCTTGCAACGATATTTGACGTTTACAGCTGGCAGGCGAAAATGTGCCAACCGGTAGATTTGGAACGGAAGTTACGTGTGGTGTGTCTGGTGAATTTGATTGGTTAAAAAGGAAAACGAAAGTAGGCTTGATAAAGTATGTGAAATGTAGTATAAATGTTTCAAAAATACATATTAGTTGTGATTATCACTTACATATCTTATATTTACATCTGTTATGATGATAAATGACAAAACATAAAGAAAATTATGACAGGTAAGCAGGAGTGCGTATTTTGTAGGAGTTATGTCCCCTAGAACTTCTTGCAGGGGTGGTACTGAAGAAAAAACCCCACAAAATTCAGTGAGAGATGTATTTGTATGTACCTTTCAATGATCTTTCTTTCTTTTTTCTTTTTACAGATTTTCAGAACATCTTTGATTGAAAACGAAATACACATTCCTTTTTTTCTTATTTACGTTGTACAAAATTTCGACAAAACTGACCGTCTAGGTTCTTGTGAACATTTTTTTAATCAAACGTGGTAAGTGCTGAGTAAATTAGAAACCCAAGTTTGGAATGGACATACCAGATGAATTCTGTTCTTTTCTCTAACCCCGGCCTCGAATCTATGTTTATACAGAACCAACTTCCTTACATGTAAATGCTTTGGATTTCGCTTAGCTACAGTGTAATGCACAGGTAAACAAATAAATGCTGAGTGTTAACGAGGTCCCACTTTAATGAGATGTATGAAACGAGTCCTAGAAAACTAAGTTTTCCGAGCCTTTATGACATGGAAACGTATATAAGATTCTGTTTGTCACATAACTTCGATATTTTTGCAGGTATGCATGAAAACAGCATTCCATTTATGACTTGCACCAAATTTAGATTGACGACAGTCTCAATTAACTCATCGATCTCTGTCTTTTGTGACGACGAAATACATGTGACGTCATAAGCTATGACGCCAAAATGGACATAAAGGAAACCACATACCAATCACAACTTCCACAAATCACATCCAATACTCGTGTAACACAACGAGTGTGGTGTGTGTAATTATAGTAATAGCAGGTAGCTATGTGTTTAAAAGTTTTAACGGGCAGTCAACATCCATTCCTCTTGAAATATTTACAACTACATGGATTAGATTCTTATCTTAGCGAAAAAGGAAAAAACACAAACATGCAAAGTTGTAATTGCGCGAAAAAAGACTCACAGCAGGAAATGTATGTACAAATGCAATGTAAAAAGTAGCACACAATAGTGAAAAATAAATGTCGAACAACTCAATGAATTAAAGAAACACACATACTAGCAGCCTTGTTCAACGAATGTGATAATATTCTTACAAGATGAAGTTGCAACATTTGCTGAGTTGTCGTTCTTGAAGTAAAGCCACCGACCTGCGGCCAGTACCTGGTCACTGCCCCAACGAGACTGTTCATATGGTGGAAGAACATTTTAAATTGGGATAGTTATTATTGTAGAATTTTTATTTCTTCGTTAATAAATGTATTTAAAGTAAGGTTTGGACTATGTATCTAAAAGTGTTTCTGTAGGGACCAGATATTCTCTCTGCTGCTCCGGACTTTCCTTGTAATTACAATCGCTTTGCATCATCCATGTTACCTGTGATGGGAATCATTTGTAAGTAACTCCCAGAATAGCCAGACGATGTGATATCAACAAGTTTTAAGCTTCGCACATGGGGATAATAAAATCACCATGCCTGGGATACAATATTGTTTTAGCTACCGATTTCTTGTAGGACCCCCAGTCAAATACATGTTCGGAGTAAAAGATAAACCGATTTCGAACCCATACTGGCAACATATTCTATCACTCCAGAATTTCCAGCAACTGCTACCTCTTTCCCGGGAGCTGAAAAAAACCCTTCGGGACCGGATATTTTATGACGTTGAATTCTACTGACTATTAAGTGGCCAACTAGATTGGACAAGTTGTGGAGTTGGTAGGGGTACGCTGAAAGATAATGCATTAAATTTCATAATATCTTGGGTTGCTGTTTCTTTGTAAGGCTCTAAACCTTTTGTTTTCATGTAGCCCATCCCTTCTTCCTGCTCCACTACACCAGCCCCAAATATTGAGAGTTTCTTTCTCCCAGAGAATATCTTCGAATCGCCTGTCTTTTTTCTCGCTGGCTGGCTTCGTCATAACCTTTCTTCCAGAGAACAGGGCGTTCTATATATGGACACAGATTCTGGATTGCATTAACCGTAACACAATTCCTGAAAGTTGCCTCCACAACATCTGGGAAGACTAACTTCTGGTCCATGTCTTCTGTCATCTTCCATGATTGTACATGCTTCAGGATGGAGGATAAAATATCATAGGTTGATGTAGATCTCTCTGGAAGAACGACAGAACAACCTATTGGAATTTCGTAGATGATAACTACCACACGGAGTAGCATATATGGTAATACCAGCCGACAACATATAGTGTGTATATATTATAGTCACACCAGCTGAAAACATATAGTGTGTATATATTGTAGTTACACCAGCTGACAACATATAGTGTGTATATATTGTAGTTACACCAGCTGACAACATATAGTGTGTATATATTATAGTTACACCAGCTGACAACATATAGTGTGTATATATTGTAGTTACACCAGCAGACAACATATAGCGTGTATATATTATAGTCACACCAGCTCACAAGATATAGTGTGTATATATTATAGTCACACCAGCAGACAACATATAGTGTGTATATATTATAGTCACACCAGCTGACAACATATAGTGTGTATATATTGTAGTTACACCAGCTGACAACATATAGTGTGTATATATTGTAGTTACACCAGCTGACAACATATAGTGTGTATATATTGTAGTTACACCAGCAGACAACATATAGTGTGTATATATTAAAGTTACACCAGCAGACAACATATAGTGTGTATATATTAAAGTTACACCAGCAGACAACATATAGTGTGTATATATTAAAGTTACACCAGCAGACAACATATAGTGTGCATATATTAAAGTTACACCAGCAGACAACATATAGTGTGTATATATTGTAGTTACACCAGCTGACAACATATAGTGTGTATATATTAAAGTTATACCAGCAGACAACATATAGTGTGTATATATTAAAGTTACACCAGCTGACAACATATAGTGTGTATATATTATGGTGATGTCAGCTGACAACATATAGTGTGTATATATTGTAGTTACACCAGCTGACAACATATAGTGTGTATATGTTATAGTTACACCAGATGACAAGATATAGTGTGTATATATTATAGTTACACCAGATGACAATATATAGTGTGTTTATATTATAGTTACACCAGCTGACAACATATAGTGTGTATATATTATAGTTACACCAGATGACAATATATAGTGTGTATATATTACAGTTACCCCAGTTGACAACATATAGTGTGTTTATATTATAGTTACACCAGTTGACAACATATAGTGTGTTTAGATTATAGTTACACCAGCAGGGTATATTGAAATATAATGCATCACATTTCATATCTTGGGTTGCTGTTTCTTTGTAAGGCTCTAAATCTTTTGTTTTCATTTAGCCCATCCCTTCTTCCTGCTCCACTACACCAGCCCCAAATATTGAGAGTTTCTTTCTCCCAGAGGGTATCTTCGAAACGCCTGTCTTTTTTCTCGCTGGCTGGCTTCGTCATAACCTTTCTTCCAGAGAACAGGGCGTTCTATATATGGACACAGATTCTGGATTGCATTAACCGTAACACAATTCCTGAAAATTGTCTCCACAACATCTGGGAAGACTAACTTCTGGTCCATGTCTTCTGTCATCTTCCATGATTGTACATGCTTCAGGATGGAGGATAAAATATCATAGGTTGATGTAGATCTCTTTGGAAAAACGACAGAACAACCTATTGGAATTTCGTAGATGATGACTACCACACGGAGTAGCATATATGGTAATACCAGCTGACAACATATAGTGTGTATATATTATAGTCACACCAGCTGAAAACATATAGTGTGTATATATTGTAGTTACACCAGCAGACAACATATAGTGTGCATATATTATAGTCACACCAGCTGACAACATATAGTGTGTATATGTTATAGTTACACCAGATGACAAGATATAGTGTGTATATGTTACAGTTACACCAGCTGACAAGATATAGTGTGTATATATTATAGTTACACCAGCTGACAACATATAGTGTGTATATGTTATAGTTACACAAGATGACAAGATATAGTGTGTATATGTTACAGTTACACCAGCTGACAACATATAGTGTGTATATATTATAGTGATGTCAGCTGACAAGATATAGTGTGTATATATTGTAGTTATACCAGCTGACAACATATAGTGTGTATATATTATAGTCACACCAGCTGACAAGATATAGTGTGTACATATAGTGTGTATATATTATAGTGATGTCAGCTGACAACATATAGTGTGTATATATTGTAGTTACACCAGCTGACAACATATAGTGTGTATATATTATAGTTACACCAGCTGACAACATATAGTGTGTATATATTGTAGTCACACCAGCTGACAAGATATAGTGTGTATATATTATAGTGATGTCAGTTGACAATATGTATATATTTATCTGACCATGCCAGCATCTTTTCTAAATTTGATATTCACATATATGGACCATTTCATTGTTCTTTTTCTACCCCTAGCGAACAAGTTTGGGGTACATACATGTAGAATAATCTTGTTTGTCTGTCCATATGTCCGGAATAATCTTGGCACACGTATAGCACAGGAAAGATACAATGTATAAATCAAGTATACTGTACAATACTAAAACGTAAATGATGCAAGCAGATTGGGTAGGAATTTTCGAATTTAAACCATCTCGGTAGTTTGAAACGGAAACCCATGATAATTTACAAATACCAGAAATGCCTTAATAGTTTCCATGGGGACGAAATGCACGTCTAATAGTGCCTTACGCAGTGTCCTCATAAAAAGGTTGCTCAAAAGAATTACCATTTTAAGAAAACAACTTTTAATGTAAATGCCATCCAAACTTAAAAAACTGAATATGGTATAGCGGAAATATAAACACATAAAATTCTCTTTCAAATATATCTCATAGTTCACAAATAAAAAAAAAACAGCTGTAAAAGAGGCTCTGGAATGTCCATATGAGTAAATACATTAACATGAAACAAAACGGACAAATAAGTTTTTGTCATCAACAAATATAAATTATATCAAAGGTTTACCAAGTCCATTCTTTTTCAAAAGTATATGACATTGCCATGCATTTTTTAAATCAGACGGACGATAGCCATGGGCTGTGAGAGTGTTCCAGAATTCATCGTTCCAGTATTCCACCTTTCCAGTGTAAAAAAGATTATTGCTTAGAGGCACAACACCCAATTTATTGGCAACTATTGCCAAGAACACATCATCAAAAATAATATGTTTAGTATACTGACTTGCAATTATAAAATCCATTACGAATTTCATTGACATCACTATACTTCCGGCGCTGACAAATGGCGGATAAATCTTATATGGGTAATCTGTAGTCGATATATACCACTTACTACTTTTTGTTCTGAACGGAAATGACCTCGGATTAACCCATCCCATGTACAGAGATTCATTACAACTTCCGGTTATTTCCAGTTGCTGTAGTAACAGGTCTGTTGCTACGTAATAATCGTCATCAGCCAACAAGACATAATCACTTTCCTGACATGAATATCCGGCCCACAGCAAAGCGCCGCGTGTTTTCCAAGTGTTCATATAGTAACTATCTTCATAATCTATTTGAAGAATATCTCCATGTGTCTTAATTTCTTGTTCAACATCTTTATAAAACGTTTTTGTCCTCGCTAATACGAACACTCGCTTTATCCCGAAAATACGTTCCTCGTTTCCCCAGGTGTCACGAAGAGTTTGTCGAGATTTTCTATTTTCAGGAGATGATTTAATAACAAGCAATAACTTTGTACTTTTTGTACACCTCACTTCCGGTTTTGTTAAAAACCGATATGGATATTCATTGATCTTTTGAAGTGATGCGTTCTGTGATCCTTCTCGATACTCTCTCACTAGCTTCATCATATCGATATCCAGTGGGTATGAAGTGTAATTTGTGTTGTTAAAGAAAGGTGTCGCTACTGTCCCGTGCTGTTTGATGCCCATCCGTAACTCCGACAGCCATCTTGGATTTTCTAATGAGTACAAGTTCGAGTCATTCCCCCACCATTCCTTGGCTGCTATACATCCATTATGCTGACGATTTGGTCCTATATTTAGATAATACAGAGTTAAAATCAAAACTGATATTATAGAAAGTAACGCAAATGAGGCTAAAACACGCTTTGGAAAATTCATCCTGTTGTCAAGTCCTGTGAGTGAACTATGTCTCGTCCTGTATGACCAGTGCTTAGTCAGTGAGGAGATAACGAAACTGATAATTTATAAACAGATAACCACATGTTCTCGTTGTAGTGAAGTTGGCGAAACGCCACTGATAAAGCATGGAGTATGTAGCCTCTAGGTAAACAGGGAAACGCTTTAGAATCACTTATCATATACCGACTTGACAAATAGGATGTAAATAACGGGGCTTGTATTTAATTTAAAAAAATATTTTTGTGTCTACACATGCAATGTTCAACGTATCAAGTCAATTCTGTGATGAATGACGTGTTATCTCCCAAGGACCTGGTATTCCATGTGTCGCACCACTTACCGTTTAAAAGGTCCAATTTTGTACGCAAGTGCAGGGATAAGCATACGGACTATATCGACGGACCGGCAGCTATTATGCTGTTGTGATTCTACATAGACGGTAAAACACACTTAATGCTTTGTCAACAGGTCTGTAGATATAATGTAGATGTAGCTAATGCCTATTTCACATTCTTCTCATTAAAGTTTGCGAATTTGGAACCTAATATCAGCGCGAACGTCCTTGTATTGGAGCAAGAAAAAAATTCAGGAATGATGACAATAATCCATTTAAACAAGACAATGCTATATACTAACAAACACAGATTTTCTTGTGTATAGGCTGGATTGCAATTAAATCATACGAACTTAGGCTGTTACAGATAACTGTGACAGAATACACATGTATACCACAGAAATTAACTGTTATTTTAAAATACTAAATTAAAAAAGTGCCGAGGAAATAGCCATACCGTAGTCTCCGATGACCAAGATATTACGTATAAACATATACATATCAGCTTATCAAGGCCACTTTATGTATGACTGGGTTAATCATTTATATAAACTTTATTTATTTTACAACAATTGCGAAACAAATTATTTCTACTTATACTAATCACACTTGTTGGCCCGGATGTAAGCAAGCGAGGGGTCTTATAGTGGGAGGAAACCGGAGTACCCGTGGAAAACCCACGTGGTCGGGCAGGTGACCCCTAACCTTTTCACGTCCGTTCCGGGAATCGAACCCCGGTCGGCTAGGTGAAAGGCGAGTGCACCCGACCACCCTTTTAATCATTTAATGACAACTCGGCTAAAATCGATACAAATTGCAAACAGATATCAAAATAAAGAGAGAAAGCTGTCTCATTGTGTTGTGGTATCAAAATAAAGAGAGAAAGCTGTCTCATTGTGTCGTGGTATCAAAATAAAGAGAGAAAGCTGTCTTATTGTGTTGTTTTATCGCGAGACAAAAACTTCTCTGTATTATTTCTCGTTTGATCTGAAAACGCTAAAACATGAAACTCATTGCAAACTTTATTCACTTTTTAAAAAAACTGTCTTTGTCCTTATTTAACAAGTAGCGTACATCTAGCCAAGAAACAATTATCAGCCAAAGTTGACGCCGAGAAAAGTGAGGAGCATTTTGAACCCCGTCTATTTCTTTTTGAGTGTGATAATGTACGCCATGTTATCAAATTACAAGCAGGAAATAATAAAATGTCCCTGATAGTAGTATTTCATACTAATGTACATTTCATTTTGTAAATTGATATATCATATCATATATCATGTCATTAAATATGATATTTAAAACTTAACTTTTTTAAAATAAAACATTGATCTTTTGATCTAAAATCTAAAATTTCAAAGAAGAAAAGAATCTAAGCTGTCTTTGAACTATTTCTAATTCATTGTATTGGTGCACGTGATTCATTCACAACAGAACATTTTGGTCATTAGGTTAAATCAAAACATTTCCGAATGCCCATAATGGTATATATTTATTGCAAATGCCTTGCTACATTGACTTACTAGTTCTGTTTAAATCGACTGTGTGCCGATCGAATAAGCGATACCCAGCCAGCTATTGTCAGTGATTGTTAAACGTTTGTGGACAGCGTTGTCAACTTAACACAATTTAACTAACATCTTTAACGCATTTTTCCTCCTTTGACTGATTCTGCTGAACTGTGTAGCACAGGAATATTCTTAATTAAGGGGAAATCTACATATTATGAATCACAGCTAATGCATTAACAACGATGATTGAATTCGAGATAGTTTGGTAAGCTAGCTCCGCCTTATCAATTATAAAAGACTTTGGTGTTTTAACTACCTTAAAAAGATATTGTAATCGAAGCCATGCATTTGTGGGTATTTGCTACTCGGCCACGAAGTGTTTTCAAGGTACACGGTGAGAGATTTTAAAAGTATAGTACAGAAATCTCTTTTGTAATCGTCGATGTTTAACTAAGATAATTCTAACGATGAACAAAGCCTACAAGACACACTGATTAAATGTGGCGTGTATCTACACAACGACTGAATTCTTCTAGAACCAAATGAGTATGTAAACAGCATGCTTTGTAAGCACAAGTTAATGGACGAACAGTACTTGTTAATTACGTGTGACCTCACTTTTAAGTGACCATGGCCGTTTCCGGTCGAGGTATAGTAATATTTGGACTATTTACAGCAACTATTTATATTTTAATATACGTTTACGTCATGTTTAAACAAAGACGGGACACATCTGATCCAAGATGTATTGCAAAAGGACTTGCAACATTGAATGAATTAAATAATATGAAGAATTTTTCACTTCATGACCAGTCGGATTACATCTACTCGGAAGAAAATATATCATGGCGTGAAGTTTTGATAGAAAGCTTGTACCGTCCTAGCAAGGAACATTCAAATTTGTTCAACGACACTTACCCATTAAATGTGAATATGAGAGAATTGATAAACACATACAAAAGCGGTAAGTACGTCGGGCCCCTTAAGATTAATAAGTATCCTTTTGATTTTGTACGGAAACCTACCAATCTGTGTGAAAAGGGACAAAAAGTGTTTCTTTTATTCCTCATTAAATCTGCCTTGCGCCATTTTGATAGACGACAAACGATTCGCCAGACTTGGGCTAATCCTGAACTTTGTAAGAGATTCGGAATTCGGAGACTGTTCCTAACAGGGATAATGCGGGGCCAGAATCGTTATCACGAATACCTAAGGAACGAGATATTAAATTATAATGATACTCTTCAAATAAACTTTTTCGATATGTACTACAATAACACATGGAAAACACGTGGTGGAATTCAATGGGCTGTCCAAGAGTGCATTCAAGCGGAATATGTAATGGTTGTGGATGACGATTTCTATGTTGCTTCAGATCTTCTTGTCCAACTCTTAAACATGGCGGGCAAATCTCAAAATTTCTACATGGGCTGGCTGAACAGGAACCCAGTGCCTGTCCGGAACATGCGAGATAAATGGTTTGTTTCCAAACGAGATTTCCCCTATCTTGTTTATCCCGAATTTATAAGCGCTGGAGCAATTGTTATGTCAATGGATTTCGCGGTTGACCTGCATATTGCTAGTCAATACACCAGCCACTTCAAATTTGACGATGTGTTCGTTGGAATTGTGGCTTCAAAACTCAGGGTAAGTCCTGTTGATTGTAGTCTCTTCTCTATGGCCAAAGTCTGGTTCACGGCTGACCGATTCTGGAAAACGCTTGTATCCCATGAGTACAAACCCAAGGAAATGCTGCAAGCATGGAAATGTCATGTGCTTATTAGTAACCACGGACTTGACAGCAGCGTCGACACGGTGTAGCTTGTGTTAAGTATAGTCTATCTTATCCCAATCAGAATCTTTTAAAGCTTTGATCTGTGTTTATCTGGCAAGTCAAATCGGGAATTACGAAATGTACAGGAAATAAGACCCCCTTTTTTAGTATGCTAGTGTAGACCTTTTTCCGACACGGACAAGTCATGAAAAGAACATATGTTAATGGAAAACAATCGGCTTTGTCACATGATATTAAAACTATTGCCATACACAACTTTAAAAAATGAGATAATATCCTTTCAAATACCGAACAGCGCCCTGTTATAATAACCCTAATCGATGTCCAAAATCAACCAGGCATGACTTCGAGAAAAATCACCTGCAATACACTTTATAAACAGAAATTGAAATTCCAATTATGCAACTCTCGTCACAAGTGGAGAGTAGAGTGCACTCGCGAAGTTTATTGATGGGAAACACAATATACAAGATATTACAAACAAGAATTCATATTTTGTGTCATATATCTCGGTATACAAATATTAGCTTTGTTGAGGTATTATTAAGACAGAGAAATGTATGAAATAAAACAATGTATATATGACAGTATGTAGAAACCAAACAAGATCTATACAAAAAGCAAAATTGATATCACAGCATGCACTGATTTGTTAAATTAGCACGTGCAGGACGATGTATAAAGGCATGGTTATGATAGTTGTACCAAAATAAAAAACGACAAATAATGATTCAGTATTTACATCAAAGCCAATGTCATAGAAGTTTAAAATACATCACTAGTTAAGGTGACAAACGGTAACGGTGTTGTGACTAGCAATGAGTAACTTACCAAGCTTATACAATACAGACAATAACACCAAACAAACAAACTTTTAATTTGACACTTTTAAATGATGTTTTTCTCTTTAAGAATATTGGATACCATGATTTTAAATTGTGTTACATTATGTCATGGTTTATCAGGAATCTGAAATAAAATGTGTTGTGTTATCATTATTTTTTTGTAGCATATGATAATAAGATAAGTATGGATGTATAATTTACCTGTGTGTGTGTGTGTGTGTGTGTGTGTGTGTGTGTGTGTGTTTGTAAGGGTGTGGTGTTGCGTGCGTGTGTGTGTTGTGGTGTGGTAAGAGATGTGTTTATGTTTATATTGATTGTATTGTCTTATTGTTGTTTATATATATGTATGCCGTCTGTCTTAGACAGTAATTCATCATTCTTGATTTGATATCAATTAAACTTGAGTGGACTTGCTTGTGCCATGTTCACGATAAACCATGTATCTTGGCATACTATTTTAAAACCTAATAGTAACTTTCAGATTTTGAATTATCACAAAATAGTTTAATTCTCATCCTTTTTTGGCTATTGCTACAAATCTTGACGTTCAGTATCATTACCAACATAAGTGTACGTAACCTACAAACTTATACGGTGCGTTTCTCTTTGTTTCAATAACTGGAGTCTCTTCATTACAGCTTATACACTTTCTTGGTGTTGTTTTTATATATCGTTTAATGTAGAATTTTAAAATCGAATTATTCTTTTTTTATACTTTAGATAACAACATTTCAATGTTTTCAAAATTTGCATTAATCAACTATGAAAAACTGTTTTGTTTGAAACACATATAAACATCTAGGGGAAGAAATTTTATATGAATCGATATATGATTGGCTTCACATTATTGTTGGCGTTCAGAGAACACCCCTCCACACCTTGACAACATCAAAACGAAAAGGTCTTCTCCATGCATAGCTGCATAAACTCTTTGTAACTGAATGGTTTTCTCCTGTCTCAAATCATAATCAAAATTATTTCTCGTACCTTAAAACTTTGGCCCCAATCCATTCTAAATTCTTAAAATTTCTTAGATTATATAGATTTAATAGATTATAATTGATTTTCACAGAAAAAAAATCTTAAAATTTCTCTAGCCACAGTTTTCTTGCTAATAGCATGCACAACTGTGAGGTCTAACAGTCGATTGGTTGTTGGTTAGAACGTATTAAGCCAGATTATTATAGAAGACCAAGTGTGCTCAAATTGACCGAAGTGTAGAACACGTGACTGAATTGAGCAAACTAGGAGAAATTCCTTTACCTAACAACAAATCAACCCAATGAAGCCATATTGCTATGTATCCTTCAGTTTTTACCGTCATGTTTTTATGTTTATGTTTTTAAGTTTCTCAATACATCATTGGTTCTATTATTATCATCACGCCTAAAGGTACCAATATATACGTAAGTGATATTTCGTTGCTAGACTACACTGTACACCGATACAATACGCTGTGCTGCTCTTATACATTGTACGATGTTGATAATTATATTAATCAATTTTAATGCTAAAATATTATCATGCAAGCATTATATGATAGTCAGTAATTATAGCGAAGGACACTATAAGTATATCATATTACATTGCAGTTATATGGTTATGATATGGGATGATAACTTTGGAAGTGTTATAATGTTTTTGACAATAATAGTAACCATTATAATGTATGTTTTTGTATTTATCTAAAATAGAACATTATAGCAATAACTGTAATACAAATCATTATCCTGTATTATAATACAAATTATTGTCTGTTACTATAATACAAATTATTGTCCATTACTATAATACAAATCATTATCCTGTATTATAATACAAATTATTGTCTGTCACTATAATACAAATTATTGTCTGTCATTATAATACAAATTATTGTCTGTCATTATAATACAAATTATTGTCTGTCACTATAATACAAACTATTGTCTCTCACTATAATACAAATTATTGTCTGTTACTATAATACAAATTATTGTCTGTTACTATAATACAAATTATTTTCTGTTACTATAATACAAATTATTGTCTGTTACTATAATACAAATTATTTTCTGTTACTATAATACAAATTATTGTCTGTCACTATAATAACAAATTATTGTCTGTTACTATAATACAAATTATTGTCTGTCACTATAATAACAAATTATTGTCTGTCACTATAATACAAATTATTGTCTGTCACTATAATACAAATTATTGTCTGTCACTATAATACAAATTATTGTCTGTCACTCTAATACAAATTAATGTCCATTACTATACCACGAATTATTGTCTGTTACTATAATACAAATTATTGTCCATTACTATAATACAAATCATTATTCAGTATTATAATACAAATTATTGTCTGTTACTATAATACAAATTATTGTCTGTTACTATAATACAAATTATTGTCCATTACTATACCGTGAATTATTGTCAATTACTATACTATTAATCATTATCAAAGTAAGTGTTAGACTACTTTGTTATGTGCAATATTTGTAATGGTGTACTGTCATACTATGTGTGATAATGTCTCCTCTCTGGAGTATTGTAAAATACAAGGGAAAATAAAGAATAGATTGCCATAATAAGCGTCAATCTCTTGTCGAGTTCAAGACGTCCACGCAAAACCTAGCTATGTGAAGACCTGTGTGAGTTGACCGGTTGCTGAAATAGTCCGGGGAAGGATTGGTAGTCATTTCCATAGTTTAGTTCAACTCTAACACTAACGTCGAGCATATCGTTTGCAAAAGTAGACGATGTAATAGAAAATATCTGGGTTTTTTTTTTATTGTGAGATGCTGGAAATACTTTATAAATCTGGTTTTCACATCTGAACCTTGCTTCACATTCTTTCGGACATTATACACTTTGTATGCAGAAGTGGGGCTAAGTGTCCATGTTTGTCTATCACACGATTCGATGGATCGCACGTGGTTTAAAACATATTCGGTGAAAGTGTTTATTCAATGGGTGTACACTATGAGGATGACGGGATTCCGCAATTTTTTTTACGTTAGTAAATATAAACAAACGAAATACCGGATATGTTTGACTGGAATCCGTACGCCATGTCATTCTCTTGCCATAGAGACAGGAAGCTATAAAAATATTACGAGGACACAAAGATATTGTAAACGGTGTAACTCTGTAACTTAAGTTGAGGATGAATTCCATTTTTGTACTGATATGTAGACAATTCCTAACCATTCGAGCTCATTTTATTAAGAGATATTAATGGAGAAAACCTTCAGTCTTAAAGTTAGTTGAATTATTGAGTATCCACAATATTAAAGAACTTTGTATGTTAGGTAGATTTATTTATGAAGTTAGTAAATTGCGAAATCCCTAATTATATACAGAAGGCGTGACAATAGTCTTCCTTCTCTGCTTTTTATTATGTAATGTATAAGTAATAAGGCCTAAATTTGTAATAAAACTTGAAACTTGAGATCTTTAGGCCTCGATTCCCAAACGGCGTCATCTAACGGCTTTCCAGTTGACTAGAGACTTTCTGATGATATGAAGGGTTGTTCCTACAGATTGCCCACAGTTATAGGTCTGATAATGCGCCTCCAATCAAGTATTTGTGGGATAAACTTAGTTAAAGTGACATTGTACTGAAGTCTCCGATACGATCAAGCTGTACATTGATATAATCCACTTTCAGTATACATGTAGCAATATCATGATAAGCAGTGATATTTGATATTTTAGATCATTACTGCGTGTTGCCATAAAGCTAGGAAATTAGCATGGACACAGGACATTGGTATTCACGTTTAGTTTACATATCTGAAATGTATACTTCATGTTCAAAATCATTATTTTGTTAAGACAAGTTGCGGCTCTCAATCCGCGATGATTTCGCCGGAATTTTTAAACATATAACATCATTTGAAAAGACATAGGATGTGTTGTTATTTGCTCATATAAAGACTTTGTACATCTTTTGACGGATATGGAACTTCGTATAATTATCAAAATGTATATTACTGGAGATAGAAAACGACAGAAAAAAGAATGAATAATAGTTACAATAAAATCCAAATTTTTCAATATATTAATAGTTTACTCCGAATTGCAACAATAATACTGATCATTCAACACTCCGCCCACTCTACTTCTTTATCGTTAAAGCTTCGTCAGATTGTGTGTGAAGTTTAACCGCAATAGGTCTATTCTTATCGACATTTTAACAACAGTTGTGTTTATGAAAGTTTAATCTCTTTGATACAAAACTTGAATTCTATGAAATGAGGGTAAATTACAGTATTTACAAATACGAGATTTGCCGTTCAGAAAAGATGGACGCCTTCTGTTTCCTTGACGACACCAGCCATATAAATTTAGGTCCATACGAGTGTGTGATTTCGCGTTCCCATTGGAGAACTAGTTAACTAGCAAGGAACCACCGAGCAAACTAACAAGTATCAAACACTTTCAACTTCATATCATACAAGAAAATAAAATGATATAATTAAGACGACTATAAAACTTCCTGATAGTCTTCATCAACCTGTATTATCTATCACCTGTACGGAGTCAATCGACTTTTTCGGCTGTACTATAACCCTGTTTACACTAAGGTAGGAAACAATGTGAAGAGATGGTAAAAAATATAGAAAAGATCTCTATAAGATGTTCTAAATACGCTTCACGTTGGACATTTGTAAACCTTCTGACATAGGGTAAATAAGATCAGCAGATTAAAAAGGACATGCACATATCTCGTAAAATAACATATAATTTTATCTGTGAGGATCCCGAACTGTTTTGTGTACATATTATGCCTCGTGAAGAAAATGGTTGGCGAGTCTTCTACCGTTCGAGTTGTCTCCCGTTGTCCATCCTTTGTAAGTTCCATGGCATTAAACACTTCATCGTGCGATAAGTCGTTTTGCTATGGAAAAAAGGTGGTGTTGCTGAGACGGTCATATCATGATTGAAAGGATAGCAGATATTCGCCACTGTTTTAAAATCGAAAGTGTGTGTATTTCAGTTCAATTTTCATGACCAACTGAAAAAAATCATTTCAGTTTTGAAAAAAAATGTATTATGCCATTTAACGAAACGATACTTGACTAGTCTATAGTTAGCTTTGTTAAAATGTAACCATCTTCGTTCGTAATGATGGGTGAGAAACGACCAAATGTGAGGAAGATATACATACTTCAATACATGAAATGGGGTCGGCACACTACCTAGGTGTGTAATCATTAGTGTATGTGTATATACGTAGAACTCATCAGTTTAACACATAACGCTGTATTTTAAAAACTAAAATGTGGAGTGCTCAAATACACTTTAAATTGATGGAATGTTTGATGTTGGTCACCAGAACAGTTAATCATGTAACTAATAGAGTAATGATCGAAACTTGTTTTGTTGTCAGTAACCAGTCATAATAACTGGTCATTGATGTTTAACCAGTAACCAGTCATAATAACTGGTCATTGAAACTTGTTTTGTTGTCAGTAACCAGTCATAATAACTGGTCATTGATGTCTAACCAGTAACCAGTCATAATAACTGGTCATTGATGTTTAACCAGTAACCAGTCATAATAACTGGTCATTGATGTTTAACCAGTAACCAGTCATAATAACTGGTCATTGATGTTTAACCAGTAACCAGTCATAATAACTGGTCATTGATGTTTAGTCTCCACCATATTCCCCGTGAATACTAAAATATTCAACTGTGTTGCGATAGTCCTCTACCCCTTCTGTGATCGTAGCACTGTGGGAAACAAATGTATGGTATACTAATTATATGTGGTCTACCTACACCACGACAGACTTTAGAGTCAAACGTGACACGGCCCCATCAGTTATTATCTCTCAAATCAAATCTGGATATCTATTCCTTGTCATTGAAACACTGTTTCATTTATTAAAATGAATAAATAACAATTTTAAAAAATCCGGCAAGGGTATATGATGAATCGGGGATTTGGACATATGCTTTCTTCAGTTCTTTTTCTTGTGTCTTTCCTTATTGAATACCACTTCCTTCATCCTAACTTTTTTTTATTTCAATACATCATACACAGCGTCTATTAGTGCCCTCAACACTTTGATTTAGTCTAATAAGTTGCGACGATAACCTCGCGTCATGGGAATTTCTAGTTTCAGGTTAGTCTTGCATTTTTTGGAACCTGTGGGACACCTCTTGGCCAATCACAGAGGCGGGATTTTCTCAGTCATGTAACTAGACAATTTATGAATTTAAAAAATTCCGATGTCTTGTTTATGCATTTCGTTGTTTTCCGTTCATTGTTTTCTTGTTTCAGGAGAAGTTTTTATCTCGCAACCATCAATTGCTTTTATTTTGTACCTCTTTCGCCCATGTTCTGTTCATCTGCCCGTCTGTCCTTCAATAGGTCGTGTATTTTCTGAATTTCCTGAAGTTCTGAAATTCAGAAATCAATGTTCCTATTTTAATTTTTGACTGAATTTCCAGGCCAGAAGACAAAATTGGATTTCAAAAGTTAAAAATTGATAATATAATTTCGTTTGTAACGCATAATTTCATTGCGTAATTGATAATGACCTCTGTTACGTTAGGTTATTTTTCCATAAAGCGAATAATTGAACGCCAGAGCTGATGACGTCATACACACATAACTACTTTCTCCGCCATTTTGTCGACTTTTCTGTCTTTTCGTAGCATGATGTCCTTTAGTTTTATTTCAAACTGTGCTGTCGATAACTGTGTTTCAATTCTCTCAATCGTAATGTTGACTGTTGTTTTTAGAGGTGTCTATTGTCGATCGATTAAATTTTAGAAATTCAGCGTACAAGAGGAATTTTTAAGAATGATTTTGGTTGTTACAGACTTGTTACTCTTACTATTCTTATAGATCTATTGATTCAAAGATGGACATTTGATTAGAGTCTTACGTGTCTATGCAGAGTGTTCATCCGTTTTTTTTTTTAATTTTCAGTCAGTAGACCTAAAACTTAGAAGAAAAAAACCTGCCTCGTGTTTCCTGAATATTACTTTGTTTTTGCTATCGACCATTCTTATTCATTTATCTGTCAAAATTGTCGGGAAAATTTCCTCTTTGATTTCTGTGCTGATTTTCTGATGTTTGGCATTGCTGGCGATCCCTGGTAACACAATTAGATATACAGACCAATGTAAAACATTTTGTAGAATCTTATCTGGGAAGATGGTGGCCTTCAGTTTTGGCAATGAAATTTGAAAGATTAACAAATATGCTTTTAAACATCAAAAACTTTCACAAAAATAGTACTTTTTTTTTCTTCGTGTACGTCCTGTCAGGTGTTCCCGACAAGTATGTATCTATTCTGAAGATTATAATCTTCTTAGCTTTGATATTGACAAATCTTCTATTTGTTTGTTTTCGTTTTCAATTTTTCAATACTTCACAAAAAGGAAGAGTGTATCGGAATCACTTTGTCTGTTTGTGTCACGTGACTTATGCAACGTATTTGGGTTTGGCTTTTACCAAAAAGCGGGTTAAATTTGATAAGAAATTTGGTTAACGCAAACTGTGGAATTTACATTTCTCCCTTTCACTTAGTTATTTTCTGTATGTGAAATTTAAATTGTTCTCATGAAAGTCCTTATTAAAATTGCCAAAACGTGAATTAGAGTTAGATAGAAATATCGCAATCTTGCTTTCGTTTTTTTTTTTTTTTTTTAATGATTTCGAGGAAATTGTAGAAAATTTAAGTGTGTTATATACACTGAACTCTCGAGGGTTGCTGCCAGCTCATAACCAATAAGTGTTACAGTGAAGTTTTTTCAAGTTAAGAGAACACGTCTTTTCTGCATCGAGGTTAGAAATCAAGAGAGCGCTTTCGTGTTGAGTCAGTTCCAACCAAGGGAGATAACTCCCACTCGCGTTGATGGTATTATAAATGAATGTTTTTGGTGGGTATTGTTTGCTGTTTAGGAATTTTTTTTGCATCTAAACTGAATATCAAATTACTGAAATGGTCTCTGATATATGATATAATATCTGATGCTCAATTAGGGTTAAGACCTGGTCTTAGTACTGTTTTCTTGTTTTGTTTTGTCTTTATTCTATAATATCTAAATCTTTGATTAATAATAAAAAGATTATACTGCTGCTTTGTCGATTTTCGCAAAGTTTTTGATAAAGTTAATAGAGTAAAGTTTATGTATCTACACGTAAAATCATTTGTAAAATTAAATGGTAACCTGTCAGATTTCTTCGTTGATAATGTCGGAATATTGCAGATTGAAATATTTAGGAATTTTACAAAAATACAATGATAAATCCAGACGCAACTGGCTGTCCAAGGGCGTAAAGCTTTGTTTGCTTTACATTTCATGTGCTCTTGTTTAAACCTTAATATAAAAAAACATGTTACTTCTATTTGATAATTATGTGAGTATTATTCTTTATTATGCAAGCGAAACATGGGGTTCGTGTAAGGCCTGATATAGAACATGTGCATTTGGATTTTTGTAAAAGGTGTTAAAAGTAAAGACGTCAGCGTGTAGCAGTATGGTTTATTCTGAATTGGGACGGGTTCCTTAAAAAATTGAGAAAATATAGAAAGATAAAATATTGGTTTAAAATCAGACTTTCTGATAACTGTATTGTATCCAAATCATACAATGTTCTGTTAAACTTGTGTAACAGAAATGTTTTCAATTGGGTCACTTCCATGAAATCCATTTTTTACTGATATGTAGATAATTGCGAGCAATTCGAGCTCATTTCATTAAGAGATATTAATGGAGAAAACCTTCAATCTTCAAGTTAGTTGAATTATTGAGTATCCACAATATTAAAGAACTTTGTATATTAGGCAGATTTATTTATGAAGTTAGTAAATTGCGGAATCCCTAATTATATACAGAAGGCGTGACAATAGTCTTCCTTCTCTACATTGTATTATGTAATGTATATGTAATATGTACTGATGGGCTTAAGGCCTAAATTTGTAATAAAACTTCAGATCTCGAGATCAACACTACGACAAAAGAATGTCCCAAAGCCGAAGATCAATGCTAAGACTGACCCAGAACCCGAGATCAATACAACGACAAAAGACCTACTGAACCCGAGGTCTACAGTACAACAGAAGACTGTCACAGAGTCAAAGATCAACACAACGACAAAAGACCTACTGAACCCGAGGTCTACAGTACAACAGAAGACTGTCACAGAGTCAAAGATCAACACAACGACAGAAAAACTCAAAAAGCCTGAGATCAAATGAAGACTCTAAGAACCGAGATCAACATTAAGACAGAAGGCTGTCCCAGAACCCAAGATAAAGACATCGACAGAAGACAGACTCAGAGCCGAGATGATTAAGATAGTGTCCCTGACCCCGAGATCAGCACTAGAACACTAGACTGTGCGAGAGGTCGAGACCAACACTGCGACAGAAGACTGTCTCAGAAGTAGATCAACACAACGACAGGATACTTCCACTAAACCCGTGATCAACACTGCGACAGACGACTGTCTCACAAGTAGATCAACACAAGGACAGAATACTTCCACTGAACCCGTGATCAACAGTGCGATAGACGACTGTCTCACAAGTAGATCAACACAAGGACAGAATACTTCCACTGAACCCGTGATCAACAGTGCGATAGACGACTGTCTCACAAGTAGATCAACACAGCGACATAATACTTCCACTGAACCCGTGATCAACAGTGCGATAGACGACTGTCTCAGAAGTAGATCAACACAGCGACAGAATACTTCCACTAAATCCGTGATCAACAGTGCGATAGACGACTGTCTCAGAAGTAGATCAACACAAGGACAGAATACTTCCACTGAACCCGTGATCAACAGTGTGATAGACGACTGTCTCAACACAGCGACAGAATACTTCCACTAAACCCGTGATCAACAGTGTGATAGACGACTGTCTCAGAAGTAGATCAACACAGCGACAGAATACTTCCACTAAACCCGTGATCAACAATGCGATAGACGACTGTCTCAGAAGTAGATCAACACAAGGACAGAATACTTCCACTAAACCCGTGATCAACAGTGCGACATACGACTGTCTCAGAAGTATCAACACAGCGACAGAATACTTCCACTGAACCCGTGATCAACAGTGTGATAGACGACTGTCTCAGAAGTAGATCAACACAAGGACAGAATACTTCCACTAAACCCGTGATCAACAGTGCGACATACGACTGTCTCACAAGTAGATCAACACAGCGACAGAATACTTCCACTGAACCCGTGATCAACAGTGTGATAGACGACTGTCTCAGAAGTAGATCAACACAGCGACAGAATACTTCCACTGAACCCGTGATCAACAGTGTGATAGACGACTGTCTCAGAAGTAGATCAACACAAGGACAGAATACTTCCACTGAACCCGTGATCAACAGTGTGATAGACGACTGTCTCAGAAGTAGATCAACACAGCGACAGAATACTTCCACTGAACCCGTGATCAACAGTGTGATAGACGACTGTCTCAGAAGTAGATCAACACAGCGACAGAATACTTCCACTGAACCCGTGATCAACAGTGTGATAGACGACTGTCAAAGATATTGAAATCAGCGTTAAGATCGAGATCAACAAAATGACAAAAGATGTGTCACTGAAGTCGTCAACACATCAACACTGAACCCGTGATCAACAGTGTGATCACTGTCTCAGAAGTAGATCAACACAGCGACAGAATACTTCCACTGAACCCGTGATCAACAGTGTGATAGACGACTGTCAAAGATATTGAAATCAGCGTTACGATCGAGATCAACAAAATGACAAAAGATTGTCACTGAAGTCGTAATCAACACTAAGACAGAAGATTGTCACTGAGCCAAAGATCAATTCTACGACGGCAGACTAACTCAGAACCCGAAATGATCACTATGACAGAAGACTTTCCAGGAGTTCAAAATTTACACGACAGAAGGCTTTCTCCTAAATTGATATCAGTGCTAGGATAGAAGGCTGTCCCAGAACCGAGGTTAACGCTACGATAGAAGACTTTCCTAGAGACTGAGATCAACATAGGACTGTTCCAGAGCCCGAGGTCAACATTATGGAAGAATAATGTTCTGGAGACTGAGATCAAGAGAGGACTGTCCCAGAGCCCGGGGTCAACACTATCGCAGAATACTGTTCTGGAGACTGAAATCAAGAGAGGATTGTCCCAGAGCTCGAGGTCAACACTATTGTAGAAGACTTTCCTAGAGACCGAGATCAACAGAAGACTCTCCCAGAGCCCGAGGTCAACACTATTGTAGAAGACTTCCCGAGACTGAGATCAACAAAAGACTGTCCCAGTACCCGAGGTCAACACTATGGTAGGATACTGTCTTAGAACCGAGATGATCAGAAGACTGCCCCAGATATTGAGATCAACACTACGACAGAAGACTGTCTCAAGATAAGATGATTCTCCCACAGAGACCACAGTTTCGATTTTCCTTTTAAATGATACTCCAATATGAATACGATGTGCCGGATGTCCCATTTAGTCAGGTTTTACTGTTCCAAACTAAAATATAAATCCTGATACAGAACTGAAATCTATTTTTAGATACCTGAAAATATAAATAAGATAGATACATTAATTTGTTTGTCGGGTTTATCGCCTCGCGCACAGCCAGGGGTCATTTTCAGGCAGAAACTCCTAGTAGCTGATTGGTACAATACCTCACTGGATAGCATATAGGAGTCCCGTCAAGAACAATAACGGTTAAGTGTCTTTCCAAACTACAATACCACGACATTACAATATCGGTCCGAAACACAAACTGTCACGGGTATGGATATTCAAATGCATTACTACTGTTGACAAACCCATCATAAACTTTATCGAGATATATTTAAATAATATCAACATGAATTGTCTTTTATCAAATCGTTACAGTTATTGCTGGAACCAAACATTAAAAATCAAAGTACTGAAAGTAATGAGAGGCTAAACGTATTGCAAAATGTTCACAAATAACGCTAAGCTATATTACCCATACTCCTACACTTTGGAATGCAAAAATTACTAAAATAAGAGAACCAGAGGCTATTTTTCTTAATTTTAAGCGATTTTATATCTTTTTTAATTCTTATTTCAAATTTGACGGCAATAATGTGAATAAATCAAAATAAGTTAAAAAAAATAACAAAATACACACAACCATATATTTATCGCCAACAAGCCAAATGATAAATAGCTCTATGATGAAGTTGACTAAATAAAACCTTTGAAATACCCAAGATGTTGCAATTACTATCCTATCAATATGAGGATTTAAACAAATCGAAAGGACTTTATACCTACTTCTTTATTTTGAATATATTGCAAAGTAAAAGTTCTTACTTAATTATATTTGTAGTTGAGGAAAGTAGATAAGGTATACACAGCATTTCAGTTAGATAAAAGTGTGAGTAATTACATTAAATGTATTTACATGCCTATCTTCCTTGAAATATCATGGTTAGACTTTTCTTCCAGTAATTATGTCTATAAAGGCATAGTTCTATTAGATTAAACCGGATTTCCATATATATACAAAATTTACAATATTTTCACTATAGCTACCACTATTTCTGATCTCCAATGCATTAGATAATGTCACCATGACACGCAAGATGAATAAATATGTTATGGAAATATTTCGTTCTAGTTAATTGATAATCATAAACATGAATATTTTGGGGTTTGTTTTATACGCGCTTTGTTTGAAGGAATATTTTCATTTCAAGGAACTTTGATACACATTAACAAACATTGACAAATCAGCACAATCAACCTTCATCAAATAAAACTAAAAGACAAAAAATATAAGTTATAACAAAGTCAACATCATGATCAGTACTGTATTAAAAGCATATCAATCATAAATCATGAGCACCAAATGTACCTCGCCTACGAAGCGCAAACTTTTAACTTCAAAAACTTGAAAAAGTGTCATGGCGGTGGATGTGAAAATCCTGAAAAAGTGTCATATCGGCGTCTAATGAGGTTAAGTGATTTTATATATTAAGACGATCTTGCCACAACGACAAGGATTAAAGCAAAATTGATGTTCTGTTTGTAATTTTTGTTTGTTTATAAGTGCTGTTAGTTGATAATTCAAACCAAGCCCCCAGACTAGGTTCTTATCATGGCGCTAAATATATATAGTAATCGTATTGTTATTAAAAAAATAAACTAATTTTGGATGCTTTTAAAATAGCGATTTGAAAAATCGCGGCATTATTTACGAAGAAAATTGCCGCTATAGGGCTCTAACTCTTTTCAATATTTCAGCCAATGAGAAGGCCAGGATCGGTAAATTTTGTCTGAAAGGCCGTCGCAATAGGCTATGCGTACTGAGTACGTTTAGCCTAAAAATGCTGTTACAAGTATTGAAAATAACGGACACAAAAGTTAATAGACTCCCTTAATTCATGTAGAATTAAACTAGCTTGTTTGGTTTCTTGTTAAATGGCTTATAAGGAGTTGGAATTCAAGTTATATTATTCACTGTCTTCTTCTTTGCTTTTAAACTGTTTTATAAACATTTTTTTTCATTCGCTAATTTTATTTCAATACGTTTTTGAACATAACACATACTTCCTGTCCTTATTGGAGGCTGTCCAAATAGTTATTATCCTGACAAAAATATGAAGCTCCAAACATTTTCCTCTCAAATATAACAAGACCGATTTTGATAAGGATTTATTATTAAAGTGTTCAAAGTTTTGAGTGAAACAGACGGAGAAAAGCATCTTAATGACCCCATGGACAGCATTGTAAGGGAGGGGAAACATTATAGATGAGGGATAGCATTGTAGGGGAGGGTTGCATTGTTATGGAGGGGCAGCATTGTAGGGGATGGGCAGCATTGTAAGTGAGGTTGCATTGTTATGGAGGGGGCATCATAGTAGGGAAGGGGCAGCATTGTAGGGGATGGGCAGCATTGTAAGTGAGGTTGCATTGTTATGGAGGGGGCATCATAGTAGGGAAGGGGCAGCATAGTAGGGAAGGGGAAGCATAGTAGGGGAGGGGCAGCATTATAAGTGAGGTTGCATTGTTAGGGAGGGGCAGCATTGTAGAGGAGGGGCAGCATTGTAGGGAAGGATAGCATTGTAAGGACAGCGTTGTAGGGGACTGGCAGCATTGTAGGGGAGGGGCGGCATTGAAGGAGGGGCAGCATTGTAAGGACAGCATTGTAGGGGAGGGGCAGCATTGTAAGTGAAGTTGCATTGCTAGGGAGGGGCAGTATTGTAGGGGAGGAGCAACGTTGTAGGGGAGGGGCAGCATTGTAGAGGAGGGACAGTATTGTAGAGGAGGGATAGTATTGTAGGGACAACGTTGAAGGGGAGGTGCAGCATTGTTGGGGAGGGGCAGCAGTGTAGGGGAGAGGCAGTATTGTAGAGGAGGGCATCATGGTAGGGGAGGGGCAGCATTGTAGAGGAGGGGCAGCATTGTAGATGAGGGGCAGTATTGTAGAGGAGGGACAGTATTGTAGGGGAGGGGCAGCAGTGTAGGGGAGGGGCAGCATTGTAGAGGAGGGGCAGCATTGTAGTGGAGGGGCAGCAGTGTAGGGGAGGAGCAGTATTGTAGGGGAGGGGCAGCAGTGTAGTGGAGGGGCAGCATTGTTAGGGAGGGGCAGCAGTGTAGTGGAGGGGCAGCATTGTTAGGGAGGGGCAGCAGTGTAGGGGAGGGGCAGCAGTGTAGGGGAGGGGCAGCAGTGTAGGGGAGGGGCAGCATTGTTAGGGAGGGGCAGCAGTGTAGGGGAGGGGCAGCAGTGTAGGGGAGGGGCAGCAGTGTAGTGGAGGGGCAGCATTGTTAGGGAGGGGCAGCAGTGTAGGGGAGGGGCAGCAGTGTAGGGGAGGGGCAGAAGTGTAGGGGAGGGGCAGCATTGTAGGGAAGGACAGCATTGTAAGGACAGCGTTGTAGAGGAGGGGCAGCAATGTAGGGGAGGGGCAGCATTGTAATGAAGGGGCAGTATTGTAGAGGAGGGACAGTATTGTAAAAGGGCAGTATTGTAGGGGAGGGGCAGCCATGTAAAGAAAGTGGCAACATTGTAGGGAAAGGATAGCAATCTGGGCAGGGAGCATGATAACAGCAGGAGGTAGGACACCATTTTATGGAAGGGTGTGGCAGTTACATGTACATTGTACATAAGATATGTCTTCAGGAAAAAGTTGTCTTGTGTTTATCAAACGATTCGACTATTGAACATATTACAAAGTAAGAATTCGAATTGACTTACAGATCAAGAAAGTAAAAATCATGCAAAACACGTGTATTATTTACGCGACGGACTCTGTTGAACACGTATGTCTCGAATTTCACTTCATCCATTGTTGAGCTAGTCCTCAGCATTGCTAAATTTGTGTGATATAAGAGGACATTTGTTTGAAACACCTAATAAAATGCGGATATTACACAAACGTATATATTGTTTACTGTATATTTATATGTGTTCCGTTTTGCTAAATTACCAAGCTGAAGCTGACAGAATACTATTTGCTGGAAATCAATATGCACCTGTACAGTAGCAATTATCTTAGATATGAACACCTGTGTATGCCTCGGATTGAATTCATAG